TTTACAAAGATACTGATGCACAAGATATGGATGATGCAATACGAGAATTTTCATTTATTGAAATCATGTGGAGTAGTTGCATTCTTTTTCCTTTGTTCAAATTTACACACTTTTTCCCTTCAAGTATTTTTGTTTCACTGGAAACAAAATTTCTAACAATGCAATTGTCATGTAAATAGTTATTCAAGGGGAATGTGGTAACTTGTAAGTTAATTACTATTTCTAAATGACCATCGTACCCCTGTACCCTAATTTTAACCTATTAATTTGGATATTGATTCTGAATAAAACATTAGAGATGTCAATTTTTCCCGCCCCGAACGGGTTGGTGGGGTTTCCCGCCCCGTCTCGGGTTGTGGGGCGAAGATGCCCCACCCCGTGAAGAATTAAAAAAAAAATTGTTTTGGACATTTTTGTTTTGTACATTTTTTGTTTCGAGTGCTTTCTTTGGATATTGATGTAGTTAGTTTGAATATTATTTATTTTAAATTTTAAAATTTTGAATTTGTGTTTTAACTGAAAAAAAACTAACAAACAGGGCAAGCCCGCGCCCCGTTTAAGGAGGGGCGGGGAAGTGGCGTGGCGGGGCCTCTGCCCCGAACCCGCCTGTTGCCATCACTATTGTTGAAATATAACCAAGGCTAAATATTTCACTCATTTCATCTTTTTTTTTTTTTTTTGCAGGTGGTTGTGATAATTTTAAGTCTTTATAATTAACTCTGCTTTAAATATCTATTTATTATTTTAATATTAATAATTTGTTTTGTTGACAATATTTTGTTTTATTTGTGTTGTAGACAACATTTGAATAGCTTAATTTGAACAAGTTGTCTCTTAGTGAGGGGTCACTCTCATTCCTTCACATTATTTCCTAGTTTTCAACATCTCTTTCTTTCATTCTTTAAAATATCTTACTATAAGAATCTCCTTCAACAATAAATATATTTATAAAGGTATGAGATATTTTGTTACTGTACAAATAGATTAATAGTAAAATGGACAGCATCAGATATGATATTTATCGAGTAATCTTCAATCTAGTATTACAAACATGACGACAGATGAAAAAAATATTCGACCACTTCTAATTTATCATTAGTAGTATATTTTAGAGAAAAGAAAATTGTTGGTTTTATATAATTTTTTTATTGAGATAAATGAAGCAAGAATCAAAATAAGATGGAGTTTGATTGGTCCCTAAACACAAGACAATATTTTTTATTTACAAAATAAATATGAAATATGTATAAATTACTGTAATACATAATAGAATATTTGACACCATTAGAGTAGCTTGTAGACGGTGTGATTATGTGTTGTTGGGAAATTTAGTGACATACTTGAAAGTAAAAAGCAAATAAGATTTTGTTTTAATTTTTTTTAGTACATTCAAATTTAACTTACTAAACATGTTGTAAGTGTTAATTTTTTACAAAAAAGACTATGGATAAGAGAGATTAAAAGCAAACAACGCTTACCCCATACCCTTTAAAATCTCAACTTTATATATTACAAGAAAACAAACATATAATTAAAAAGATATATGAATTGAGTACAAATAAAAGGTAAATGGTTTGTTTTGTTTTGTGATACTTCTCACGACTACCACTTATAAAAGAAAATCACTTTTTCTTGACAAATATATTAACAAATTAATTCTATCTGTGTGACCACAATTACTATTTTTTGCAATAACTTCTTTGTATAATAGTAAAATGACGATCGATTTTGTTACACAATATCGTATATTCATTATTTATTGTATGAAAAATAGTAAAGTGATGATCGATTTTGCTATCCATTTTTTTCATTTAAATAAGAGAGTATATTCGTCATTTCACAGTTTTTTAATTGAGAAATTGGATGAAAATGGACAACAATGATGGTTTGCTTAATTAAATTTATAATTAAGGGTGAAAATGTCAAGAAATTAATACGTATGGAATTTTTTTTGCAATAATAGTAAAATATAGGGACATTATGTACTAATTACCCTTTTAATAATTTATTTGAACCTCATTTGCGCTGTTAAAAAAAATTGAAACTATGATTGCAATTATTTTTTAAAATTTATTTAAAGAGAATGATGTATTCGTCATTTCACAATTCTGAATCGAGAAAATGGATGAAAATGGCCATTTGCGTAATGAAATGTGAAAATAAGGGTGAAAATGCCAAAAAATGAAAAGCAAGAACGTTTTATGCAAATAACAGTGTTAGGTGAGGATGTTATGTGCTAATTACCCTTTTTAAAATGAATGAGTTCTACATTCTTGAACATGTAGTTTCCAACTAAGAGTATTTTATGGAGACTAAAAGTCCAATATATTGTGCCCGGTTGACAACATTTAATTTATCTTATAGCTTGTTATATGATCATTTTCAACCCACATTCACATTGTAAAATATTATGCACGTATACAAAAAAAGATTTCCTACTTTTTAACCAATAAATCCTAGATATCTCTCGCCTAGTGAAGGGGTTTCAGAGTATAATGAAACTAGGTTATACTAAGACAATAAAAATTAGATTAAAAAATATTTTGCTGTTCCCTAAATTGGTGAATGTTATTTATACCTCACTTTCTATCAATAAATTCTCGCTTTTTAAAACTTTCTTAATTAACTCTTATAAAAAGCAAATTTTAAAATGCACTTTTGATTATTTCCATCTAGAATACTCGCAAGAAAAAAGTCCGAAAATACATCTTAACTTTAAGATCTTGAACCACCATTATAATTGTTCAAATCTTAATATATATTGTTCACTTGAAACTTTTTCTAGCAAATTAATGATTCGACCAATTGGACAATATTACTTTTTTGGTGGCTGAGTTTCGAGTTAGGCGTTTAGAAAAAGTAATTTCGTTACCTTGACAAAGAAAGGTGCAATTTTCATACATGGAAAAAAAATCTAAACACTGTTGGTCAAATCTTATTTAATATTATATTTTCTTCAAATGAAACATCAATAAATGCGAATCAATAAATTAGTTTGTTCCTATTGAATGTGATGGCGACATTAATATGCACGCAAGAAATGCAAAGGTTAGAGAGCTGTTCACAACTCAAAAAACGCCTCCTTTCCGTAAATAAACTGTTCTTCAACGGAGTTCTGAATTTCGTTCTAATTTATATAATAATTTCGGTATATTTACAAGAAGAATGCATGTAGCAATTTTGATTTCTGTATATTTGTATAAATTGGGTTGAAGTTTCCAAGATTCTTGGAAGAATCTGGCATTCTTCTTTTTTCTTTCAACTAGCCACTCACTTCAGTATTCCTTCAAAAAGAAAAGGTATACTGAGATTTTTTCTTTCTTTTTTTGGTTCCAAGAACTTGAAAAAATGGTGTACTAGTTTGTTGCAATGAAAAAATTCACAGGGGTTCCCTGTTTTTTTTTTCTGGTTATTTTTTTTTCGTTTCTTGATTTTTGTTCAGCTGTTATTCTTATGTAATTTGGCGTTTGGGTGTTGAGAAGTATGGTGAAACTGATGGGAAATTCGAAAGGATTTACAGTTTGAGTGTTGCTTTTCATGAATCGATTTAATGATTGTTTTAATTTTTAATTTCTTAATATTTCATTCTTTCTTTTATTGTTGTTCATCAGGAATTAAAGAAAGACAAATTCTGGGTTTTCTTGTTTTTGCAATTCGAAGTTGATTTCTGTGTTTTTGTCTTAATTATTAAGTGTACTGCTGTATTAATTAAAATACATGCGTACCATTATTTGTTTTGGCTATAATGTGTCATTGCAGTCTGAATTCTTGACTTGAATAGGGTCATAGTTTCTTTTATAATGAAAATCCTCCTTTTATTGTCTGTTGAATAGCAACTACAATACTTAGAAATATTATCACAAGTTCTTGCGTGCCTGTAATTTGTAGCTTTTGGTTTCTGAATTACAAGTGCAAAACTAAGCAACAAATTTATGTGCAAGAGAGTTCCTAAAACTGTTCAAATTCTCATATTGGATTCTCGAAATGCATGATTACTTATACATGTACTCGTATATCTACGCGTTGTCTTTTCCAAAATTTATATGCTCTCATAATTTCTGTTCTTTTGTAATCTACTTGCTAGCTTCACAGTATGCAAATGAGGCCTGTTATGATAATATTCTGATTTTTTGGAACAAACTAAGCTAAAGTATAAATAAGTTTGATTAGGCTTTGAAATTCTGATGTTCAGCTGCTAGTTAACATCAGTCATGTCGAGGCAAGCTCATCTTCCTCCTCGCTGTCCCGATCAAAAGAAAAGCGTAAATCGCCCAGGTTATGGTTCGGCTTCCCTGACTTCATGCAATATTGAACTGCATCCTGGATGCCCGAGACACCATAAATCCATCTCGCAAAGCTCTATCTTAGAGGAGCAGCCAGCATGGCTTAGTGATTTGTTGAGTGGTTCGGACTCAGATTCTAGTGGGATTTTACACCGACGATCTGCTAGTGATTCCTTTACCGTTTCGGGTTGTCTTGTCCCTTTACCTGGTCTAGAACAACTAGATGCATTGAAGACTCCGGATTCTTGTGGACCAGATAATGAATTTGAATCTGGTTGTGCATATGGTCCCAATTCCCCTCGCAGAAAAGGAAAAGTAGCATTTCCTGAGAATGCAATTGTTTCAGCATTATCTGAATATGTTTTACAAAGTCCTCTGCAGCTTCTGGATGCCAATATGTGTGTTTCTAGAACTGCACAGCCAGATTCAACAGGTGATGCCTTTGGTCCAGGTAGTGGAACTAATACAGAGCCGAAACTGATGAAACGGTCAGACTTTATACTATGCACGTTTACTTTGACAAATTGAATTTCTTATCACTAATTGCTTGTTACTGTATCAAGATTATGTTGGTATAGGAACATTTTAAATGATTTCTAATAGGTAGAGGAATAGTTCTATGATTCTATCTCTGTTCCTGATTGGATAATAAAACTTTTTAAGTATATGTGCAGAATTTATTCTTCATCTTCACAATAGAAATCCTGACATGCGATGATGGGCTCATTTATTTATTCTTGATTACATGTTATTCCTCTTAAGAAATAAACATTTATGAAAGGTTTCATTTATTTAGTCTTTACAAAGATTCGAAATAAACAAAAATTTTAGGTGAGACCGATCTGGCATGTCAACTGAGTTCATGTCCAAGTGAATTCTGGAGCTTGTCATTGTTGAAAACAAACTTTATACGGTTTACTATGCCCCTAAGCTTTTAAATGAGGCGGTTCAGTATGAAAGCAAAGATACCAATCCAAGGCCCTAAGTTCAAGTCTTGTCACTACACATTTATGAAATTTGCATTTGCACGTCTGAAGTCTTGCCGCGGCACATTTATGAAATTTTACACGTGTCAAGTCTTTGACTAAAATTGAATCCACCATGCACGTGCCCTCACATTTTGAAGACCCTCTCTAATAGCTTTAACATTTAGATAAAGTGGTTCACCGGTCATTAGCTTTTTGTTTTTGTGCTTTCTCCATGTTCAATTGGATTCTATGGCATCTTCTATCCTGCAAAGTTTTCCTTATTATAAATTATGACTTGCACGCAGACATCCTGGGCAGCGATCTAGAGTCCGCAAACTTCAATATATTGCTGAACTGGAAAGAACTGTTGACATTCTTCAGGTACGTTTTGCATAAGATACAAATGCAAGTCATGTTTAATTAGTGATTATCTTTTGTAGTCTACATTTTAGTATCTTTTTACCAGATCGCAAGAATCAACTTGTAAAAGTGCAAAGTGAAATGCAGATGAAAAATCACTACACCCTGATTGAAACTAGGAAAATAGAAGGCATGTAAATAATTAACGGTTTGCCTTATTTAAATTATTGCTTCTCACATTTACAACTCGTTAGCGGTTCATCAATTATTTATTGCTCCAGCTCCTGACATTTTCAATAAAATTGCTTTCAACAAATGTGAACATACAGAATTTGGAGTCAGATTTGGCTGTCAGAGTCACTTCTCTGTATCAGCAACAGCTTGCTTTATCAATGGAGAACAGCACGCTAAAGCAGAAGATGGTGAGACTGCAAAGGGAGAGATTCAATGCGGAAGGTAAGCTGCTCATCTTTCAGTTGATTGTTTTCTCTTTGCTTGTTACTATGCTAGTCGGCACCTGACACAGTTTGCTACATTGTGGTCCTTGTCTTCCACTCGAGCTTCGTAAATGAAGTGTTCTGGAAAGGACAAAATTCCAACTTTCAATCAATTAAGATGTAATTTTGCAAAAAACCCTGGATAATTTGCAATACAATTATCAATCAATTTCAAGGTACTAATGTAGTTGCTGATAGCTTAATTCAACATATTACTTGATATTCTCTTGCTTGGAAAATGAGGAAGCCTGTTTTTTACTTGAAGCAATTTTTGTCTCAAATGTTCTTGCATTTATAGATTGCCTACACTTAAGTACCCTTGCCCATAAATAATATGGGAATTAATTATTGTAGGTAATGTAAGTAAATAAATCCTGAGTGCTGCACCGTCTTGACATGTTCCCTCTAAGTCTTCTGGTGGTCGTTGGTTAGTTAAACTGTACTTAGCTGGTGAAAACTTCTTGTATATTAAGATATTACAAATCTGACATTAAAATTTTTTGGAAAATATCTGGAATGCAAAAAATTAGGTTGCAAAAAATTAGGTTACATTTGTTAATGGGAGGCAAAATGTAAAATTCAAGCCATGAACCTTCTAATGCTTTTGGGCGTCAACTGAAACTTACAGGACACAGTGCACTCTTGTAGCATTCATTAAATTTCTTACAGCTCCTGTAAAAGTTCTGGTTTAGACATTTTACAGCTATACTCTCTCAGCACCTCATGTCCAAATCTGCAGTATCAGTACTGTTTCAAGTACTGGCATGTTTGGTATATTGGAGTGGAACGTATTTGATAGGATTGAAGAAGAAAAGAAAAATCTTGATCGCATTCTGGAGAGTACTGTCCAATATGGTATACCAAAGATGCTCTAACGGCAACACCTAATGCCTGTGATGCATATCCAGTGACAAATGATTGAATAGGCAAGAATGAACAAAGGAAGAACCATGCTGCTGAGCGGTTGACTCAAAGTAAACTTTGGGTCCTTAATGTACAGAAAATCATCACAAAGAAAAGAAATATAAAAGAAAACAATATCTTCAAGTAGCAACAAAACCCACTATTCAGCGTTGCTCTGGATGTTTGAGTCAACTTAGTGGACAATTGCATACCAATATGGAATGCTTGAAATCTGTTTTGTTCTTAGTGGACTTAAGGAGGTTCTTCATTTTAAGGAACATAGAATGGTTGCAGCCAGTGGCGGATTGGGGGGTGGGGGGTGGGGGTGGGAGTGGGGTGGCTACGCAGCCAATATCCATTTAAAATATATTTATTTCTCTCTCTCTCTCTCTCTCTTGCACTTTTCTGTTTTTGTCTGTTTTAGTATTTAATTGTATTGTGGATAATGACTAATTATCGTGTTTAAATTTTAATTGTTGGATTGAAAAATTACAAAGAAAATCATTGTATTTGCATGGTTTGCAATCATATTAATAGGGACATCTTGAATAATATTTTAAAAATCATTTACCAAGGGTGAATTACATGGACAGAGACATGGACGTGCAAAAGGTGATTATGATCATTGATCGGGAGGACCGTGAAGAAAAATATAGAATTATTGTTTGTCTTCAAAGGGGTGTGATCACTTTAAAAAACTGTTGTCTTTTTAAATTTTTTATATACATTGGATTTAATTTCACACTAAAAATGAAAATTCAGGAACTTATAAAATTTCAACATTTTTCATTTAATTTTATGATATTATTTGTGCATTGAATTTATTATTTATAATGTTGCTACTTGCTTAATCAATTGTGTATTTATTCCACATGTGACATTTTAAAGCTTTCATTAATATTTTTTTTATCCTAATATTTACACTCATGCTCCCCACCTTAAATTTGCTAGTTGCTCAAATTGCCGACTATATTTCACGTTACTACACAATTAGTAAGTGCTTTGTTTGCCACCTAGTCACTATTTTTTCATTTGCTTTATATTTGCTAATTATTATTGGTAATGTTTATATTTAAGTATTTGTTGGGATAGCTTAAAAGTTGCTAAAAAGTTGAGGTCAAATTCAACAATTAATTTTAATCTTCATTTCATAGAACCTACAACTTTTATCAACTTTTCAATCACATATTTCAACAACTTCTCTAAAAATCTGCTAAAACTTCCATTAAAAGTTTTGTCAAACAAATGAAATTTGTTGCTTTGCTGGCCTATGGTATGTATGAACAAAGATTTTTAAATTCCAGCCCCCTAAATAAAAATCCTGGATCCAGCCCTGGTTGCAGCTTGGATAATTTTTTCATCATGCCTATGTTATTACTATCCTGTGTCTCCCTGTCAATGTTTGCCCTACAAATACATTTGGTCCTATCCATTTTCGTCCTGTCCCATTCTTATTCAGTATTCTCCGTTTGTGCAGGTGAGTACCATTCCCTGAAGAAAGAGTACGAGAGATTAAAAATGTTCCTAGCTTATTCCTCTACTAGCAAGGTCCATGGCTGGTCGAACTCTGCTGCTGATTTATCCTGTTCTGGAGACATTTGGCAAACATTAGACATGCGCAAACTCGATCTGAACTGACATAGTTAGCTGTAATGGAGGAGTGTGCTCAACTGTCCTAAGCTCTGAAAGTTCAAGGTGAAGCTGCTCTAGTAATTGTTTTCGACCCTAAACTGCACATATGTAGATGATCTTAAATCTCAAGTTAGGAATAACGACAGTAGATTAGAACCGATTTCTACCCAAGGACGGGCTGAATTAGCTAGTGCAGAACAGAAGCCAGAACTTTGGTCCAAACTAGCAATGTTAATAGCACTGGAAGTATGTGCTTTTTGGTTTGATGGCAATATTAGCCATTCTAGCTACTGTATTGAACTTGACATGCACATCCATATTGGCAAAAACAAGATATTCGTATCATTTTTAACCCTTTATTTGTTTAGCTGGTAATATTGCTTATATCTCATTCAGAATAACCAAAGGATGGGGTATTTATCATGTTCTTTTGTTAGTGCTGACACTTAAGCCTACTTCTGGAGAAAGTATGTTGACACTAATAAAATGTTTGGTATGTTGGCTTGGATTGCATTGAATAGGATTTACGAAGGTAAAATTTTGTGTATTGTGGCATGCAGAGTATCAAATGTAAGATTCCCCTTTCACAATTAATTTTGAGTCAATAGATATGCTTGTTTTTCTTGTCGAAATATCTCGTTTGTAAGGCCAGGACACACGATATTAAACTACAGAACTGAAAATATAAAGTGCAGAAACTTAAAGAATCAACACAAGAATTGTTTTTTGGCCTAAGCCCGGAGGTTTGGCGACAACTTCCAACGCCTACATCCCCCGTTGAGCATCCAACAAGTTGGATTATGCTCGGTTGCACTAAATAGTCCCAAATTGGCAACGAAGGTTACAAATCGTTCAAACAGTGCAAAGAATGAAGATAGAACACTTATCTCTCAAGTACATGAACAGATCTAGAACAGATCACTCAAGAAACTCCATAGTAACCTGATCAATACACAACTCAAATAGAACCTTAGTTCCCACAGATATTCACACAGAATATCACAATTAGAGAGTCAAAATTCTCACGATTACAGTCTCAAATTAGAGATTTGAGCCAAGAGAGCCAGAAGAAGAAAACCCTAAGTATTTCTCTCACAAGGCAGACGAAAAGTGTCTCTCGAATGATCCAAAGAAGTCGATCTGGGTAACTTAAGAGTCATCCAATTTGATCAGCCAATCGTCCAGATCTGTCCACGTGTCACCATCTTAGTAAAGGAATGGAATAAAACGTTATAGCCAGAAAACACGCCTTTGTTAATATGATTGCTGGCAGCACACCATTCCACCAAGGTTCGAGTCCCACATTGTTGATAGTAGTGCTCTCGGGAACGGATATGCTTACCAGTTACAAAACTTTGGACTGTGTTTAGGGGAGAATTTACTACCGCTATTCTAGTGTTTGGGAAAGTTTTTAGGCTCATTTTACTCTAGTTGCAGGAATCCAAATTCATGGCAATTTACGTCGTATCGAATTCTCATCCTACTCCATGCTCACAAATTGACCGTATTATGATTCAAAATGAAAATAGTTGTTTTCTTACATTAACACATACACATTTGATCCGTAGTAAGATAAAACAAATTTAAAAACTATTTTATCCAGCATACCATCAATTGAGTGTTACATTCTACTACATGTAAACTACCCCACCCTAAAACCAAAAGAACAAAAAAACATATCTTCAACCCTGTACAACCCTACCACTAGGGATGGTTCGATTTGATTAGTTTTTTACTTTTTTTTTTGAAGTATACTGTTTAAAACAGTTTTTTTTAAAGAAATCTAAAACATATTTTATTAGTCAATTTGGGCCCAAACTGTGGTTTTTATTCATAGAAATGCTTAAATTGAAAGATTCTACATATATGGTACTAATAACGGGAAAATCCGTATATGCATTGTTACAAAATATTATTTTATGTTTTACTACGTAATGTTTAAAATACTAAAAATACTGTGTTGTATATGAAATATATTAAAAATTACCGATTTCCAATAATAGAACCCAAATAACATTTTTGTAACCGAAATGTTTTGAATACTCCATCCTTCACGGCTCCCATTTAATACATCTTCCTAAAAAAGAAAGTCCATTCAAAAATATGTGTGAATATCAATTTGTGAGAAATCTTGGTTTCTTGCATTATTTTGTTCTTCAAATATATTGATTGTACATCAAATAGGCATCAAGACCTCACACGAAAGAGAAAATTAAACTACATGACAACACAAGAACAAATAATGCAACAACCTTGTGTTCATCTATGTAGGAATCAAGATGTATTAGTTGTAAAGACGTGTTTGTAAGAATCAAAATGTATTGGTTGTAAATGCTTGTTTGTAGGAGTAAAATGTTACCTAATTTATCATTCTTTTGATTTAGAAAATCTTCAATGTTTTTTTTTAGTATTATTTTATAGTATTTATTGAAACATAAAAGTTTACAAAGTATTTTTTAAATATTTACTACGAGGTGGGTGGCCCAATTTCCACTATTAATAAAGCATTCTAAAAAGCATAAAACGTGAAGGCATAATTTCAAATTTTACGAGTTTAAGCAACGCACGTAAAAATACGTTTTCTTATTTTTAATAATTTTATTTCGAATCTTCCTACGAACCCTAAAGACATGGTACTGCACGCTACAGTACCGTACAAGACAACCAAGAAAACCTTAATTCCTTTTTACCATAATCACAGTTTTGTCGAATTTAACGTATTAAACATACTATACCAAACTACCAATCTAAGCAATTCCATATCAAAATAGATAGCTCGCTTCGCTTGTAATGATTGCAATTGTGCCAAAGTATTCCAGTGGTTCGACCTCAATACCAGGAGAAAACATCAACTGGCTCAGCATACCAGCAAAAAAGGTTGTCACGAAAAACCAGCAAAACATAATAATAATAATAATAATAATAATAATAATAATAATAATAATAATAACAATAGATAAATATTTAAAATCCACGTGCATAGCCTAACCAATCCAAAATGATATTTTCTTTACCAATATGCACACACCCATCATTCCAAACAATAGAAAGGAAAAAAGAATCACTACACTAAATATATAATCAGAACATCCCTGAAAATGAAGACGAGAAAAACAGAACCAATAGAAAATTCCAAAAGTTGTGTTTTCAACGGCCATCTGCACACCTCCGCTAATTGTGAGAATTTTCAATAATGAACTTCCTCTTTAACCTCGGAGTGAAGCTCGAGGAACAGCCGGCAAACCAAGTTCGTCCTCAGTCTGCGCAACATCAAAATCAAATTAAAGACACTGCTAGCCATAAAAAGCAAGACAAGTATGAAAATTCTAGTGCTATCCATAAGTTTATGCAGCTGAAACACAAGAGTAGTATTAGCAGAAGTAAGTTGTGCAAAGCTCCCTACATTTATAATCGAAGAAAAGGAAACAAGTTGAAGTCCGTTATATGAATCATTTTTTTTCCCAACCTGAGAGGCGTGTCTACATTACTAGAAAATATTTAGATATGCTGTATATTATAGTTCAATAAAAAACTAGAACAAAATAGAAGAAAGTGGATCAATGGAAAATATGCAGGCTGAAGATGAGTTCACTTACACATTTGAAAATAGAAATTTCTCAAAACCTACAAATATTTACACAAAATACATATAGCAGATGCCTAACAATTTTTAAAATCGACAAGTACAGGGAGTTCAGAGGGTGAAAATCCATTGCAGTAAATAAAACTAAACGAGAGATATGACATGCTTAGGGGGCACCACCATCTAATGCACAAAATAAATAAGTTAAATTGGAACAACTAAAATGTAGAAATTGCCATTTCCCTAATTTATTTTATTAAAGCAGGGAGTATCTCTTCAGGTGCATAAGAAGAGATGACTCTAAATCATGAACTCGAAACTTGTGACTCCAGAAACAAGAAGAATAACAGTTCTTTAGTCTAGAAGGAAAATGAAGTCACCTGTGCATTTGTTCTGCTACCTGGGCCTGGAGCATGCCCTGTTGGTGCTGACGGCAGGTTGAGCTCTGCATCCAGATCAGATTCCTTATCAGGTTGAAGATAAGAAGGCACTCCATCACTTTCAGTTTCCATCCCCATGTCTGCTTCCAAAGCATCAAGCTCTGCATTGGAATATATCCTAGAAGGTTTAAAAAGTAGACTGCCAAAATTGTCACAGGACAAAAATTGGCCCGTCAAGAAAGTGTACTTGAGAACAACTCGCAAGAGTCTTTTAGATCTCCCTAACACAACCACATTCTGGAAACTACTATAGGATATATACTTGTTTACTTCCACAGCCTTTTACGGAAAGAAACAAGTCCATACTTCAACAATTTTAGTAGTTATGTGAAAGAAGCACAATTCTAACCCTCGTATTTTCTCATGAAAAGCATCGCAAAAGATCAAAACTGTTCCTGTTAAGGTCCAGTGGTGCATGTTCTCATTAAGAGTCCACATTTGATCTTACCACCCATGAGCTCTTCCTCATCAACGTCATCAGGTACACTATAGCTTCTACCAAGGGACTCCTGAATCTCATTGCTCACATCCATGAGGTCCATCATCTCATCTTGTAAATTCTGCATATGATTAACACTGGCCAATATAAAAAAAATTCCAAGAATTTATTCACATAGAAGAGTAACATATCAGGGTAAGATACAGACATCTATGTCTTGAATTTTCACAGTTTTCATCATTCCCTTGAGCTCTTTGTTTGCCGTCTTCAAGGCTGACATCTGGAAAGTACGTGGCAAGATTAGATATTTGAATAATTTAATTACTAATCAAATGCATCTGATTTTCTAAACTTGGCAATGAAGCATCAATATCCAACTTTAAATAGGCACATAAACATTAGGCATACGAAAATCTTAGGACGTGGATAAGATTGCAAAATCACAAACTTCCTCACAACAGGTGGGTGATCCTCCTACCTCTATGGAGGTAGGCAGCACGTTCCAATCATGTTACAGAATAAGCTCCGCCTCACAACTCTTGAACTTTGACCCACAGGGCGCTAACAAGGAAAACATATTTTACTATGAACTTGATGAACTGAGAATAAAAATACTTGACGACAAAAATGTGAATATTTCTTTTAAAATGCACAAGTATTACTATAAAGGTCAAGTAAAATCTCTGATTGAATCTTTATTTAAAAATGCATAATGAGTACAATTACTAGAAAGGCCAAGTAAAATCTCTGACTAATCGAAATAAAGGAAAATGTCCCTTTCACTTTACCAGACAAATGTATTACGCTCGTTGGCTCAGTGCATTACACGCTTCAGAAGTTCAAAATCATGCAACACATTTTGGACACACCCGTGGAAACAGAAACACCACAATCATTCAGTATCCTTGAAATGCACTACTCTTTATGCAGGTAAGAAGTCAAAAGTTTTTTACTTGGCATTCTTGTACAATTCACAAAAACAGTCTAAAACACGGATTAAACGAGTCATAAAAAGTAAAATCAGACATTTGAAAGAAGAAACATGTACAAACTCCAAAAACATACTGTTTGTTGCGCATCTTTAATCCCCTCGGCAGCAAATGCAACTTGATCTAGGTTGAATGTCTGATTGTAGAGCATATCACGTTGACCTTCATACCTTTCCAGAAAAAACATATTAAGATGTATACATCAACATGCATATGTCTGTGTGCAGATAGTTTCATGAGCATAATGAGCAAGACCGATATCAGGGAAGATCGTGATAAATTAGCAAAAAAAGGTGCTTCTGACTGTAGCATTCATTTCCATCTATATATGAAGCAACACATACAAATGCTTATCCAAAAAGATGATAAATATTCTTATAATATCAACGAAAACTACTTTTATGGCAATATAAAACACCCCGTTAACTTTATACAAAGTGTAGGAAATTTTCAGCAATTAAAAGGTGAAATGTGAATAAAGCAACAGGCAAGGAAAATGAAAGGTGCCTGATTAATCTAACATTTGGGATAACAAGCAAATTCAGGAAAATTTATCTTGTAGAAATGCAGAAATATCACATAAGCAGCATAAGCATTAACTTAGATCCATGAAATATAGTGCAGATCCTATAAAAACCTAAGTATGTGTTTTTACTTGATACATAGCTATAAGCTATAACTCAGATACCAACCCAATCATTTTATTCAAAAGTAACTGTTGATGAAACAATTGGAGAGCTGAGTATTAGAAGATGAAATACCACTCAAATTTCTCACTGAGCTTTTGACATACGTGTCCCAGTAGCTATGAAGGATGGAAGATATTGAAAAGATGAGGATCCTACATCTCTGTAAAACTAAGCATTACCTTCAAGAAACTGAATGAACTTTTTGAATATCGGTATCTTACACTACTATCTATAGGAACAGAACTCATCTATCTATCCAGGAGCAGGTTGAATATGAAAGCAGATAGGGCATAGAGCTCTTATAACATTCACATAAAGGTATAGTTAAGGTAATTCAGAACCCCATGTTTTGCCTCGTAGCCTGATCTTCCTTGAGTAGAAAGAAAGAGATTAGATAGAAGAAGAATTATTCCGGTTTGGCCCATGATTGTCTTACTTGAGAAGGTTTAATCAACACCTTTCACTTTGATTAGATATTTTCCCTTGAAAATAACCATTATGCCCCAGTTATTTCTTTCAGGCAGATTACATGCACCTCCCATGAAGTTTGTTCAACATACACGAAGAATCCTTGTGATTCCAGTAATTATGCTGTCCTCCCCAATCAATGATGGCTGTCAAGAAAAGCCTTTTAATATTTAAATGAAGAACCCTTGTTGATGGAATGGAAATGCGAGGAAGAAGAAGGATTTTGTAAGGAAAATTTACATTTTAGAAAAAAAGGACATCCAGAACCTTCAATCGGAATACATGGGGTATTAGTAGATTTTCAAGACCTTTTTGTGCTATATGCTAGCATTCCTATATGACACCATCCAAGCATTTGTTAACATAACGAGCATTTATCATATAGAGGTCAATTTGAGTGGACAGTAATGGCCAGGACCACAAAAGGGTAGTCTTGTATATTGAACAAACCCCAACGACATGATTGTAACTAATCAAGAAATTCTATTTGGAATAGGATTGTCCTACATCATTCTCCCCTACTTGAAGAAATCTCATCCTCGAGTTTGATTGAGAAAAAGAAAATCAATCAATTAGGAGGAAAATACTCAAATTTCTGCCACGTCACATATTGAACAGATGTCCATCTCTTTATTCTCTGCAATGACATCAACTTTGCTCCTATATTGCACATCTTCTCATCCTTAAGGACACTTTATGTGGGGCATTCCATTAGAAATGACGCTTTATTCAAGCTCTCATTCTTAAATCCCAGTTGTGCGCATACAAACACTGATATTTTTCTATTCTTTGTGCTTCTAATGTTCTTTTTTACTTCTAATGATGACATCTTCAATACAACAATTCTTTCGCTATTTTTCTCGTGCTCGTGCAATTCTTGGCATTTGCATCGCAGCGGTTTGCAAAACTTTTATTCTTAACTTGACAATCCTCACCTTTGAGTCCTTCGTGGTTCAATTAACTTTTCTGTTCTACTATATTCTGAACTTCAACTTATTTAGAGTAAGGCTCGAGCTTGAGGTCTTCAATTGCAATTTCACCAAAATATTTTTCATCCTTACATTTGTATTCATTGTCAATTTCCATGCAAAAGGGATAGACAAGTCTCAAGTTTCCATCTTGCACATACTTTTATACTTATATTTTAGTATAATGGTCAGTAACATCCTTATCATCTTATAAATGACATCTTTTTCAACATCTGCTTTATAAATCTTTACTCTTTATTTATACTGGTATTAGCAAATTTCTCATCATAAAAGAATAATCTTTTTATCGTACCACCAATACACATACATGTTATCTCCTAGATACATTCACTGTAGATGTACATAGAATCATGGTTGTCCCCAAAGTACATAACAATTGTCCAATCTATACAACGTTACATACGATCTCACCCTTGCAATATTTTTTAATAGAAAGTGGAATTTTATATACCTTGAGTTTCTTGCTCCCTTTTAATTAATGAAGCTTGATAGCAAGATGATTATTTTTCTTTCTTCAAAATTAAAGCTTTAATGAATGCTTTGGATATCATGTCCTCGCTACTCCCGTGGTCTATTATCATGTTGTATATTTTGTTGTTGATGATTATTTTAAAATTCTTGTCGCACTTCAAATTGGGCTTCTTTATATCTCCTCGGTAGACTTTCACAGAACCATTGATACCTTATGAGTATTCAAACGTTGCTGAGACTCAAAGAAATTCTCTAACCACTTGTTGCCGTGTTATGAGCTTGTTGAAATAAAGTCTGCAAATTTTTTTTAGTTGCATCTTCGAAAATATCCATCCTTTGTTCTAGATTTACGAACAAGGTTGATAATTTTACAATCCTCTGATATACAATGCATACCACTACCACCATAGGCAACCATCAACCAAGGACAAATTTTGCTCTGATACCAATTTTGTAACGGAAGTGAAATTTAAATTCTTGAAATTAGAATAAAGTTGAAACATTTGAAAATATGTAGACAATAGTTTATTTTAATGAATTGGTTTATTGAAAAGTGTAAAAAGCCTTGTTCGCATAGGCAAAATAATTCCTTCATTTTACCATTATAAAGAACTAAAATGGTAAAAGGAAAGAAAAATAAAATCCTAATCTAAAAAGAAAGAAGAAATCCTATTCTAGTAAAGAAAGAAGTAGAAAAGAGATAAAAAAACCCTATAACAAGAAATCCTATTTGGAATAGGATTGTCATGCATCACTTTCCCTCAAAACATACATCTTCCCCTCAATTAGATACAAATAGCATTATTAACTTCTCGTTCATCATGTTTTCGGAGCTACAACTCTATGATAGTAGTTCTCAAAACTGCTAAATGAAGTGCATATTATGAACTTTACAACGGAAACTAAGAAGCTTAAACTTTATTCAAATCAAAACCAATGAAATGTGGATTATAGTTGACAAAGACTAATGTACCAGCCCACCCCGCCCCAAATGGGGCGAAAAAAACCCGCCCCGATGGGTTGGGTTGGGTTGGGCTGGGCTGGGCTGGGCGGGGCTGGGCGGGGTGGGGTGGGATGGGGGGCTTTGAGAAATCTCTCGTGGGAGGAGAGATTTGTTTTGAGAAACGATCTATGTAAGTGACATCTACATGATAGAATCATGGTTGTCCCCAAAGTACATAACAATCGTCCAATCTATACAACGTTACATACGATCTCATCCTTGCAATATTTTTTAATAGAAAGTGGAATTTTATATACCTTGAGTTTCTTGCTCCCTTTTAATTAATGAAGATTGATAGCAAGATGAGTATTTTTCTTTCTTCAAATTTAAAGCTTTAATGAATGCTTTGGATATCATGTCCTCGCTACTCCCGTGATCTATTATCATGTTGCATATTTTGTTGTTGATGATTATTTTAAAATTCTTGCCGCACTTCAAATTGGGCTTCTATATAGCTCATCGGTAGACTTTCACAGAACCATTGATACCTTACCTTATGAGTATTCAAATGTTGCTGAGACTCAAAGAAATTCTCTAACCACTTGTTGCCGTGTTCTGAGCTTGTTGAAATAACCAATATTCATAGCTGTCAAAGTCTGCAAATTTTTTTTAGTTGCATCTTCGAAAATATCCATCCTTTGTTCTAGATTTATGAACAAGGTTGATAATTTTACAATCCTCTGATATACAATGCATACCACTACCACCATAGGTAGCCATCAACCAAGGACAAATTTTGCTCTGATACCAATTTTGTAATGGAAGTGAAATTTAAATTCTTGAAATTAGAATAAAGTTGAAACACTTGAAAATATGTAGACAATAGTTTATTGTAATGAATTGGTTGATTGAAAAGTGTAAAAAGCCTTGTTCGCATAGGCAAAATAATTCCTTAATTTTACCATTATAAAGAACTAAAATGGTAAAAGGAAAGAAAAATAAAATCCTAATCTAAAAAGAAAGAAGAAATCCTATTCTAGTAAAGAAAGAAGTAGAAAAGAGATAAAACCCTATAACAAGAAATCCTATTTGGAATAGGATTGTCATGCATCACTTTCCCTCAAAACATACATCTTCCCCTCAATTAGATACAAATAGCAATATTAACTTCTCGTTCATCGTGTTTTCGGAGCTACAACTCTATGATAGTAGTTCTCAAAACTGCTAAATGAAGTGCATATTATGAACTTTACAACGGAAAATAAGAAGCTTAAACTTTATTCAAATCAAAACCAATGAAATGTGGATTGCAGTTGACAAAGACTAATGACTAATGTGCACCTGTGGTATTATGCAGTAAAATCACTCAAACGAGATGATACTTCAGAAATCTGGAGATTGTAAAAGTCATATTCAATGGCACATCCAATTCTCAATTTCTGCTCTTAATTAATGTTAGAATAATATTGGGAATTCCATAGAACATTGTTCGTTTTGGCTATTGATTCCGACGAACATCTTCTTAATATTTCCTCCCACTATTTTGGAGGGTTGATTACCTTGAATCCCTATGGCAGCAATTCCTCTGATCCTTGAACAGTAATATTAAAACTCTTAAAAATGTCTCACGAGTTTTTAAAGGTATTCCCTAGAAACATAATCCTAATGCGACCTCATACTTGTTGATTATTGTTTCATATCCCGTTCAAGTATCCATGTATTTCCAATCTTACAAGCAGATCCACATTTAAGCATGCTGATAACCCAAAGTTGGTAAAACCCCACCCCCTCTTCCACCCCACAATTTTTTTATTTTTTATTTTTTCCTTCTCTTAAAGAATTTTATTTAAACACGCTAAAACCATATCAACTGAATCCTCATATCCCACAATCAACCCGCTCTAAGAATAGCCAGATATCACGGATTTTAATTCAAACTTCAAGGTAACTCAACCTTGAGAACAAGCATGAACTTAAAATAATGTTATCTAGCACCAGTCTAGGTGGTTACATTTTATAGATTCAATTACATAAGTTATATGACTTCTCATTTAAAAGAATCTATCATTTAATGTCATCTAATTATCATATAGACCGGTACATAATACTAGTGGTTTAACATTAGAGGTGATGAATACTAGCGGTTTAATACTAGAGGTGATGAATAGCATTACTCATGAACTTATCCTTTGACATCATTAGCAAGAAAAAAAATTCCAATGGCTGCCGCCGAAATGTGTATCTACTAATTCTGAAAAAATTTAGAACCAATAAAAAGAGGAGGTACTTACATTCTCTTCTGCTTGAGAACCCTCATGGCTCGAGCTTTGACGGCTTCTTGCGCTGGACCTGGTCGGGTCCTCTTGATCTGTTCTTTGTATTTAGCTAATTCAGCATCGAGCTTATTTATCTTCTCCTCAACTGAATCACCTCTCTTATTGATCTGATATAAACAGTGGAAACCATCTCAAACGAACATTCATCACGATCCAAGAAGTAAAGCTATCAACTTTACAGCATATATGTACAGCAAAATTGGAAGTTTATCATTTATCATGATCCAAGGGGAAGGAAAGCTATCAACTCAGCATATATGCACAAAAACATTGGAAGTAAGTAACAATGTTATCATTTCACCAACTATGAAAGACTACCCTTAAAAGCCATGGTTCATCACATTAGAAACCAACTTTATTGCTTCCTATTTACAGAATGAATAGTAGTAAGACTGAGCATTGTGCATATTAATTCACAAAAGAATTATATTAAATCTAATGAGTGAATACTTATTGATATGTAGCTACTAAAGACTTGCATACACCTGAAATATCAAGTATAGAATACAGTTATAGATGACTTAAACAATGTCTCCATCAAGGCCAAAACCTTTGGGTAATAATTTCATTCTTATATTTTCTTTTAAACATAGAAGTTCTAGAATTTTAAGAAGTTCCAGTGGTCAAGTTAAGGTGAAGAGTTAAAGAGCCTGCACCAAGTATCCAGTATTGAAAATACGCATTTTATGATACATAGGGACAATCAAAGGAGTGTTGGATAGATGCTCAAGAATAGACATGTTAAAAGCTTAGTTAGTGTCCGTGTATGATAAGAACAAGCTACTGCATTACAACTTGCCAGTATACATTCTTCCTAGCACTTTGGAATCGAAACACATTCCAGATTTGCAGTTCTCCAACAAATTCCAAACTGTAAACACTATCATCTAAAACTTTTCTTCATAGAAACAGTTACCATGCTTTGTTGCCATGCTGACGACTATTGAAAAACAAATTATTCACATAGAAATAATAATAAAAGTAATGCTATACGAGTTACACTACACACTGATAATATAACAGACAGATAAATCGCGAAAATGATAACAATAAGGAGGTGCAATGTTAAGGGAAACAAAATCACAAATTACATAATAGATTCACACGATAAAATCAAATCCAACTCTTCAAGTACAAGTGTATCCAAATCCAAATCATTAAACAAGTTGGAAGATGTCAAAAGGTACGCACCCGATCCGAGGCGTCTTGAACGGTGGGAGGGGGATCTTTGTCTTTCTTTACTCCAAACACTCTCCTCATATTTTCTTCTTTCTAAATTCTTCTTTGCTTATTGCAGTGAGAATTAGGGTTTCAGCTCGATAGAGAAGTTTTTGAAATAATTTCGAATTTTTCCTTGTGTTGCGAGGATGACCAATACAAAATCTATGAAATTGTAATCTAACTTTGGGAAAAGGGAAAGGGAAAGGGAAAGGGGAGATAAATAATTGAAACCAATTGGCATATTCCTGTACGCCTTAAGCTAATGGAAGCTTTTTCACCCGCTCCCGCTGGCTATATTTTTACGGGATTTTATTATTTTTAAGAAAATTTAGTACAAAGTGAATTTGTATAGGAATTTTTTATAATGGGAGGACTTTGATACATATTAGCATGTTCAATCCAGCATAATGACATATTTCTTTCAATTTTTATGAAAGTATGCACGTGTGATTGTCAAATAAATACTTAAAATTTGTGATTCATCCGTCAATCATAATACAATTCATGAAATTCTGACATAAATTAACTTTTTCTCTCTAATTTATGCACGATTTATTACTTTAATACCTCCTTATAAAAATCTCACCTACGCTCTACAATCTATACCATGGTACAAAGGGTATTTTTGATAATATCTTACCTGCAGCCTCAGTCAATTATGGCAGTTGTTCGACATCTTACATCATATAACGGATTAGCGGTTGAATTTCTTATTAAAATTTGGTAAAAAAAGTTAAGAGTGTAGATCTTACCACATGGAAGAGTGTAAGGCCATATTTGATACCATAAGTTTTCCATGGAAAATAAAATTCAAATTCCATTTTCCACCCAAAAAGCATGTTTGATGGGCAAAAAGTCTTGGTAATTGATTTTCCTACCCAACCCCCCACGCACCTTTTCTTGANTTTCCTTGGTTTTGTCTTGTTTGATGAGTTATATTTTCCCACCCATTTGTTTTCCACTTGGCTTGTCCACGCGCCTAAATGCCTTGGTTTTAATGAACGTCTAATTTTTATTTTTTTTCAATGGGAACAACTGTTATAACCAATTGTTAAAAAAAATGAAATTCACTTTAATGGACAATTTCTATGTAAAATAAAATCAAAAGAACACTAAACTTTGATTAAAAAATGATTTTCTTGGAAATAATTTTTTAAAAAATTTTGGCAATGGAAACAAATTTTATAACCAATTGTGGAAAAAAATTATCACTTTAATGGACAATTTTCATATAAAACAAAACCAAACAAACACAAAAAGATCCAAAATTTAAAATTTTTTCAGGTGGAAAATTATACCAATCAAACACACTTAATTAACAATTCCCTGAAAAACAAGTTCTAGGCAATTATTTTATTTGGAATTCATTTTATTTCCACCCCATTTTCCACCATTGCAATCAAACGGACTCTAAAAATTAATGTAAAGAAGAATGTAAGCGTAGTAGGGTTGTTTTTAGACACTACATTACTTGTTAGAAAAAAATACACTACGAAAAAGTCAAATTCTAAAAGTGAAAGAACTTGACTACAAGTTTCTGTTCGATTCCGTGTTCTAATCCACTAAGGCCACTTCTCAGCAAAAATGGAGTGATTATACCTCTTCCGAGGAATCGCTTAAGTCAGTGACTCTTGACACTGATGATCGAATTCAATGTATGGTCTTTACTATTGAAAAGTTAAAAATATCCTTGAAAGGCAAAAATGCACAAACAGTTGTACATCAACTAGAATTACAATTATTCATTGACGAAGGCAATCCAAAAACTTCCCGCATCATAGAGGTCCGAAGACGTTGTGTACAAACACACCAGTAGAGTGCCGAATAAGCATCCAAAAGGTTTAGTGAGCCCACACATTTTCTGAACTAAAATATTCAATTTTGATTCCTCATTCTGCATCAATATTTTTACCTTGAAATTTTACAAGTACATTAATTCAAATGGTATTTGAGCATTTACCTTGCACGGTATGATTTCTATGAAAAATTAAACACTCATTTCACTAAGGGGTCGTTTTCTTTGTGTTTCAGTTTTGTGTTTTGAGTTTTGAATTCATTTTGGTGGTGGTGGTGCAATGGTGGTTGGAGATTTCTGGTGGAAATTTTGGCTACTCCATTGTTTTGGATGAAGAATGAAAAGTGCACAAAACTGTTTCCGTGTTTTGGGTTTTTGGGTGGATTTGGCTTGAAAACAGCCAAAACGATGTTTTTATCGTTTTGGTGTTTTGTGTACAAATGTGTTTTTCGTTTTCAAAAACAGGAAAGAGAACACGTTTTCACTGTTTTGGAAAACAAAAAACGATCCGAAAATGCCAAAGAGAACGGCACCTAAATTATTACTATGCATGTGATATGATTGAGTAGAATCGACTAGATAAGAGTAAAATATAGAGACATGCTAACACATGATCTTAGTATTCTATTACATATTAATCAACATTCAATTGATCAGCCTGAACAAAAAAGATTCGTATAAACCAATAAGGCAGCTACACCAAAGAACAGCACAAATACCAACGCCCTGAGCTAGTCAAGCCACGGCGCTCACAGGCCATGGCATGCGCCATTCCTTTCTCTGGTTTCTTCATGTTAAGGACTAATGCTATTTTCACTGCTGCAGTTATTTCGATACCGTCCTGTTCTATCCTATCCGATCATCTAGCTCCCAACCTTCAACATTTAAACTGCAATAAGAAACCCACATTCTAAGTTAATCCCAAACCTCATTAGCACCAAAGTTCCAAAACACAATACTCGAACACGTGTTAGCTTTATTCTATACAACTTAAGTTCCATATCCCAAATACTCAAAAAGTAAACAGAATCAAAATGTTATGCTCAGTAGCAGAAAGCGTATCAACTTTCATCGAGGAATGCAACATTCGGAACAGAGAAGGTTTATAAGAAAGGAAAATAAAGCCCAGAAAAGTACTTTTTATTCCATAAACACAAGGAGTTGAGGCGTGAAAGTCCTTAAAGTTACAACGAGTGTTGAGCTCAATTGCAATTCATCCTTGACTTTTTACACTATTACTAGATTAAGATTTTAGACCAAGTTGCTTTCGTGTCTTCCCAACAAACAAGTCCCCAGATTTTATCAGGCCAGGAATGCGTCCAACAACAGGTAAACAGAGAATTTGAGCCACCGCATCTCTTCGACCGAGTGAAACAAGTGCCATTGGTGAAGCAGGCTTGTAATTAACCAGCGCGTTTTCTTCGCTTCCTTTCATTAACAAATTCAAGTTCTTAGCAGCCACCAATGCATGCCTTTGTGCCAAATATCCTTGTTTGAGTTCCTGCATATAATATTACGCTGTAAGAAACAATGAATATTGAGAGAATGAACTCAATTTCATATAAAAGATTATTCAAATAAAATATTACAGGTTATTTTTTTTTATTTTTTCATTTTTATCCTGCTTAATAATTTCATAGAAACACTCGTCCAATTAGGGAAAAACCAGGGATTAAATACCTTCGTGTAGTGAAGACCGAGATTGCTAGGAGCATACGATTCAACATTTTTTGGAATACGAGTAAAATCAGGTGTCATTATATTTTTATTTTTTTTAAAACCAAAATCTGCTGTTTCTCTAAAGCCAAACAGATTCCAAAATCTCTGTTTATTTGAAGGTTATTTTGTCCCAATCAATGGGTACGAAGGTTTACAAAGATGCTTTGATTTCACCACATGAAATCATTTTAAGTAGCATGAAGAAACTAATACTTGGAGCCAAATAAAATAAAACAACAAATAATGCTCGACTTACCGGAATATCAGTGATATCTCCAATACCAAAGACATTCTTGTGACCCCTGACCCTCAAGTTTGCATCGACCATTAGCCTTCCATGACTGTCTAAGCTATCCTTCAAAACAGTCTCCTTTAGCCACGACGAACCAATTGGCTTGCCTGTGCATATAAAGTGGCAATCAGCTTTTATGCTCTCTCCACCAGATGTTTTATAAACATCATCTGACTGAGAGTTCAAGTCAACAGATTGGCCCAAGATGACTTCAACCTTCTTTGAAATCAACCAATCATGAGCCATTTTACCAGCCTTTTCTCCAATGAATTCTAACAACCTTGATCCTCGATGCACCAGTGTCACCTTCTTGTCAGGAAAGTCAACAACAATTTCAGCTGCTAATTCCACACCAGTTGGTCCCCCTCCAACAATCAAAATTGAATTTGCAGATCTTATCTTGACATGTTCTACAACAAGGAAAATAAGTCAGAAGCCGGCAATCATAGCATCCATTAAACAGTGGTTTGGATTTGAATTAAAGATCCAGAAATGCTTGGACAAACTTGGAGAAAAGAATACAAGAGTTTTAATAATGTATCAGCTTAATAATTAAAATGAAAGAAAAGCATGTTGTGAGAATCTTACAATCATTAGAAAATTATGGATAACATCTAGGTTGATATCTATGCTTTTTGAGAAGCTGGACTATGATGAAATTGAGATATCACTACAACTTGGCCTTTATTATACAACTCCAGATACTTGAAACTTCTCTTATGAATTTCAAACATTGTTCAAGATACACCAATTTTGGAAATGATTATTAAACGCAACTGCATCCATGCATATACTTCACAAATGAATTTGTTTTCTCTTTTCAGATCTCTTCATATAAACCTATTTAATAGTTTAGGGACAAATATCTATGTTAGTGTGTGGATGAGCACAATTGCCAGAAGTAGTGAGTCATAGAACTGATAACCAAGTACAAAATAACCCTAAATAAAGTTAAGAAATATCAATCTTAAGTGTGAAACCGAAATATTGCTCCCATATTGGAAGCATACTTCTAAATGCAAACTCACCAGTACAACTAATGAAGGTAATATGATGAGGAAAAAATAAGCCCCTGTTTGACATCCATTTTTTTCTCATTTTTTTTCTCATTATTCATTTCAACCACTCATTCTATCAATAAAATAACACTACACATAAACCCAAAAATTCTCCTTACTTTAAACCACACATTCTTCCATCAATCACTATTCCAAATCAAAATTTTCTCCATAATGGGTGTCAAACACAACCTAAATTAACCACTGAAGCTACAAGATTAAATTTGCTCGCATATTTGTGCCAGTATTACCTGCCTGGTAGTAACTAAGCTTCTCATCTTTTGTACAAGGACCAGCATCTGCATGACCAGTAGCAATGACAAGATAATCATATGCAATTAGACGGCCTTGAGCAGTCAATACTTCATTCTCCGTGATGTCAGTTGCAGCAGATGCAATAATGTGAGCATTAGGAAGGTATTCCAAGTGATTAATCACTGATCTCTGTGCAAATGATGGTTCAACCATTGATCTCAAGCTTGCCCAAGAAATCTCAACGTACTCCTTCCTGCAGTTTCAGTTTTAGTTAAGCAAAGGGAACCAAATTTAAGATGTTTTAAATTATAGTTAACTGCAAAGATTAATTTCAAGTTGCAATTCTTGGTCATGTCATTATAATGTTGATGTATTCAATGTAATTTAGGTTAAATCCTGTCAATGTGTGAGAATTGAGACATCAACCATGAAAGATATTATACAAAGAGCACGAAACGATGAACTAAAAGAAAAGACAGTTTTCAACACCATACTTTTTGGATGTGTGGAGCCAAATTATTCATTATATTTTAAATGTTATAGGTGTACTTTGGAAAATTAGCACCTATATTAGGTCGCCTTAATATTTCCTCATATAAAGGTATTAGGACGAGACTTTTTTATGATGTGGAGGAACAACAGAGAGGTGTGAGATCTGAAAACACTATAATCATTCTTCTTCTTCTTCATCAATATAGTTAAATCCTGCAGTGGCATCAAGAGGACGTATCTCTCGCATTGAGAGTGAACCATTCTAAATCGTGTGTGTGTGTGTGTGTGTTTTCTTCGTTTTGTATTATTATTTCTCTTGATGATATAGGATTAACGATTAATCCATAACAATACCAACCATCCACACCTGGGAGAATCCTCAAAACCACTTGAGAAACCTTTGATATTATTCCCAAAGATTTTTTTTGATAACCGTGGATGTCTGGTACTCACCTCAGTCAAGGATGTACAAGATCATGTTCTGAATTAGATCTCATTGAACAGTTGAGTGTGCATTCTATATGATGTAAAGAATCAAGACCCACCTGAGCCTTAAAAAGTTGACAATAAATAATGCTGATGGTACTACACTTTTTTATTAATAAGTTTAGAAGAATTTTTACAATTCTGTGAAATATAGATCCAGTACATTCAAGGTAAAAACATACTACCCAAAAATGTGGTTTAACCATTGTTTAGAACAACTGTTTGAGGCTTTCTCCTTTAGGCATACCTCACGTGAGGCTTTCATTAAACGTCTTGAAGCCTATGCTTTGAGTATCATGCCTGAGGCTTACACCTCAAGGCTCAGCCTCAGGCTAGCGCTAAGGTGTGCGCACATTTGTCTTGCCCTTTCTGGACCTTTTATTATTGACCCAACTTTTGGATTTTTTACAATATTTGACAGGGGTTTTCTTTCTTTTTTAAATTATTATTATTATTATTATTATTATTCCTTAAAGAGAATACACCATTGGAACTGGAGGATAGTTACAGAATAAAAAAATGCAGTGATCAGGAGGATGATAGTGGAATTAAATATATTGACAATTCACTTAAAGATTTTATTGGTACTCATAATATAGGAGACTCCTTAATTATTTCTGCATGTAAAAGTTTTTGTAATTTATTATGTGATCGCTAATTTGAAAACTTATTGTTATGAACTCCTTTATTGATCACTGCATGTTTGTGGGCATTTTGTATTGTTTTGAATTATTTTATTGGTTTATCTTGGGGTTACACCACAAAATGCCGGGTGGTTGACATGTGACTTGTGAGGTAAAGCTCTCAGTACCCAAATTGAGCCTTTCAAACATTGATTCTAGCATCAATGCACAAGCCAACTTTTAGCTAGTTCACATTATCTATTTGGTTAATTTCTTCTCTAACAACTGCTAGTGCAACTACATCATAATTTTCTCAAATGCCGCAAGTTTTCTCAGACGACATAAACTCAAAAGCTTATATCTTTTTGCACTGTGGTAACTTTTAACCCTGCAAACAAACCTGGCATGCATAAGCTCATTAAAGTTATTGCCATGATGTAGAGTGTTAAATTTACTCATATTGTACACATACTTGTCTGTGAATTATAATTACTTTGATTCACATCACATACATTGTGTTATTGATAAAACCCCAAATACCAATTTGTTGAGGGACAGTAAGTGTTGTAGGAGGAGTAAGCCAGTAAAGCATCCCAACATCTTTACTTCCCTCCCAATTCTCTTCCTTACCTAACAAGGGTATGCTCACCCTTTACTTCTGGTTCAACATTCAACCAAGTATAATCATCACCCCATCCTCCCTAGAAACAAATAAATAATAAAACAAGAAAAGGGGGTAAATAATTGGAATATTGTCGAAATGACACGAAACTCATAGAGTGTAATTTACAATCAGCTTCCCATTTCATCAGATTACACATTTAGGAACTTTTGCCTATTTATTAACACCAAAAGTGCAACACCATTGAGTGTTTCCAGTCTCTGATCACCCTTTCTTTCTAGATTTATTATTACAACAGAAGTAAACTATTTTTATTCCAAATATAAACTCAAATAATCAAAGTTTATATGTCAATAATGATTTGTATGTCAACTCAGAATTACTAAAATCTAATTAAAGGACACCACAAACGTACAAAGCAGTGAAAGAAATGAACACTCACACCACAATTATACCCACAGAATTAACAAAAGTACACATTCATTTATATTCAATTCACCCATAACAAAGCCAGTAAAGAAAGCTTGAGAAAAGCGAAAGTGAGCTTACAGATCAATAAGGAAAACAGCAGCATCGTTTAGAAGGGTCTTGGCAATAAGAGAGCCGGCGATTCCACCTCCCACCACCACCACCACCCTCTTCTTCACTCCAATCGGATCGTCCATTATCAACTCAAAATTCTTCTATAATTATTCACAAAAATAGGGAAATAATAAAAAAAACAGCCGATAAATTTCTTTCAACGCTGAAATTCACAGAAAATGGGTGTAATAATGAGGGAAATGCAGAAGATAAAGAACCCACTTGCCTTTTGTAATGGAAAATGAATATGCAACGAGAAAGGGAGTTCCAGGGTAGTCCTCTGGGAGGGGCAACCCCTTTTCTCGTAAAAAATGGCTTATTAATTATCAAGCAACCATATTGTCCTCATTTTTCAAGATCATCCAATTCTTTATGATATTACAGCATTTGATGCCAGTGATGGCAACATGGTCTCATTGTTTTGGGTTGGTTGGTTTGTTTTTGAAATAACCTATTTTATGGAAGTTAAATTAATTTTAACATTCGCAACTTTTCAACCACATATTTATCAATTTTTATTAAAATCTGTTAAAAAAGTAATTTTAATATCCACCAACAGGTGTTTAGTATTAATAATATTTTTTAAAATGTCTTATTAAAATAAAAAAAGATAAGAAAAATTTTAAATTTACGTGTAAAATTATTTTATTTGAAGAATATGTAATTAATAAAGAATTTATGAAAAAATAAGTTTATAAAAAAGGGGGCTCAAATAGGCTTCATTTATCACATCGTGTGAAATGATCCCTAATTACTAAACCCATTGCCAATGAAGGTACGTGTGAATGTTTCTTGGTATCAACTCGTTATAACAGTGCTTTGCGTCGAAGGTAAGGGTTGCATTTAAAGTTTCCGCACTTCACATTGGGGATGTGCCCTTGCAACTTTGCCTTATCAATGTTCAAATGATCAATTGGATCATTCTTTTCCCAAAAATTGTTGCTCCTCGATGTTTTGAAGTTCTTCAGTATGGCTCATCTTTTTTATATCCTTTGAAAATGGAAGGCTCTCATCATCGTCATCCTAGTCACAAGAACGCATCAATTGTTTATCACTAGATTTGTGCTTGTGCACGTGAGGTTCCTTATCTTGTACCTAACAATCCTTGCTATGCTGGTTATGGTGATTGTCGGGGTCCTTTGGTAGGTCTCTTCCCTTGCATAGTCTGTCGAATACATTGATTCTGTTGTATCTTTTTGGAAGGTAGATCATCCACCCTTCTAGGTGAGACTCTCGATGTGGCTATTATAGTGATTCCTCATCTTGGGATGGGATGAAGTGTCATGAGATCGACGACTGAAGGAGCCGAACGTCAAAAGACTTTGTTGGCTACGACTCATGTTCGTTTAGATCAAAATGTACGAATCGTGACGAGTAAAAAAGTGAATTTTAAAAAGTCCAACTATCGTTCCTACATAGGCTATTTATCTACTATCAATTTTTATCGTGAACTTGGATTTAAATTAAATTAATGTCGTAACCAAACAATGAATCGAGAAATTAGGTTAAAACTAAAGCTATACTAAATATATCTAACTTAAATGACGAGTGAGATTTTTTGCAAAATCTTTGAGATTAGGTAGTTAGGAATTATGATTTCGTTTAGGTCAATTAAAATCCACTCAATCCAATATCATCCAACCCGTTTTTCATGTGTATTAACAATTGAATTACTCAATTTTAGCTAGTGATCTCTTTCGAATAAACTAGTCATATTCACATGTTTGAATTTACTATATTTCTATATAAATTATACGCATAAATGCATTAATTTGTAGGATTTCAATCAAGATTGGATAACCTATATGAGTATTTTCCAATCTCTTATGAATATCCATGTCACTTATTGCACTAGCTAGACAAAATATATTTCATATCGATTTCAATATTATCCCTAAATTTATCAATTGATGGTTGAGCAATTGAATTATATTGAACACAAAACAAGTAATTAACACATAATCAGAGTTTCATAAAATCTTTTGAATTTAAATCAACATTAAAACCTAAGCTATATAGTTCCTCCTAACAACAAATTATCTAGCAACTCATAATTATGGAATTAAACAAATGAAGCATAATTCAGATTCAATTTCAAATCCCAAATTAGAGATATCAATCTTGAGAATCTATGTATGTTCTCTAAAGAATGCGCCTCTCCTTGAAAAGACTGAAATAATCCTATTTATATACCTCTTTAGGTCTAAAATCGAGCCACAAGTTGATAACATTCGGGGTTTTAGTTGAAGTAAGAAAACAACAATCCGTGCTTCGCGTTTGCACCATGTGGTTGTACCAACTTAATTGGTGCAATCACATGGTTCTCTATGTTTTGTCCCTAGATATTCTGCAAAGGCCCATTGCAAGCACATTGTTTCAAGAGAACAATACACAACTAAGAAGTTTAGTTTTACCAATTTTAAATTTAAGAACTTAAGTTTAAAATTTCAAATTTCAGAGATTTTTAAATTAATTAATTAAACATATATTTTATTAATTAAATATATTAATGTCACAATTCCATATAATTTGCTCACAAATTCTATATAATTGGTCACATATTATTAATTTGTCACAAATCACAAATTTTACATGTCACAAATCATTTTAAGGTCACGATTCAAAAATTTTATAGATCACAATTCGTTCATCGATCACAAATAAAAAATTGAAACATCACGAATTATTTACGGTCACAATTCAAAAATTTTATATGTTACAATTTGTTCATCGATCACAAATCAAAAATTTTATAAGTCACAAATTATTTTATGGTCACAAATCAAAAATTTTATAGGTTACAATTCAGAAATTTTATAAGTAACAATTTGTTCATCGGTCACAAATAAAAAAATTTATACGTCACAACTTATTCATTGGTCACAAATCACAATTATTATAAGTCACAACTTTGTAGACAATCACTAATTATCAAATTATCGGTCACTAATTAACAAATTTTTAGGTCACATTATTTTTTGATCACAATTTATATTTTTTATTAGTCACATACTGTTTATCAGTCACAGATTAACCAATTTAATGGTCACAATTCATCAAATAATTTGTGACCACAGCCAACACTCGTGACCACCACCTCACCACTCCCTCAGGCAACACCATCGCCGCAAGAACTACCCCCGCTAGCAACACCATTTCAACACATCGCAGAAAAACACATACACATTGTCGCGCCGATCCACCACCACCTCGACATACCTATCGCCACTAACATCTCACCATCACCTCGACTCACTAGCACCACAGCCAATATTATCAGTCACCAGCACCACCACCACCACCACCACCACCACCAAAAAATCAGATTTAAAATTATCAGTCACCATCACCGCACCATCGCTGCAACTAACCATCGCGCACATAGCACAACACCATCGCCACACCTCCACCTGTACAACTAACAAAAACTCCCAACAACAAAAACCACCCTAAACCTCCATAAGCATCATCATCACCAACAACACTACCACCACACCCTAAGCAAATTCATCACCATCATCAACATCTCACCACTGCAGCACCTCACCATCACTACAGTGGTGGCATGAAAACCACTGCAAATCAGATCTAACAACCAAAGCCAAAATCATCTCACCGCTGTACTAGATCCACCACCAGCTGCACCCACCTATAGCACCACCTGCAAGGGCGGGTGCTACAACATTGAGCGTCACCGCCGCAGCGTCGCTCAGGTCATCGCAGTGACGTCATGGCAGCAGCGACGGTGGTCTCCCTTCTTGTGTTCGTAATAGAGAGGCGGTGACATCTCTCTTCCTATAGACAGAGAAAAGAGAGAAGGGGAGGAAAAAGAATTTAGGGTTAGGGGATGGGGATTGAAAATTTTATATTTAATATTTAAAAATAAAATATCTGATTTTTGAACAATAAACCCTTCCATCTGATTTTTGAAGTTGGATATTAAAACATAGGGTCTGGTGTAATGTCCACTTTCATTAATCACAAATTTTACATGTCACAAATCATTTTAAGGTCACGAATCAAAAATTTTATAGGTCACAATTCGTTCATCAATCACAAATAAAAAATTGAAACGTCACGAATTATTGACGGTCACAATTCAAAAATTTTATATGTCACAATTTGTTCATCGATCACAAATCAAAAATTTTATAAATCACAAATTATTTTACGGTCACAATTCAAAAATTTTATAATTAACAATTTGTTCATCGGTCACAAATAAAAAAATTTATACGTCACAATTTATTCATTGGTCACAAAACACAATTATTATAAGTCACAACTCTGTCGACAGTCACAAATCGTCAAATTATCGGTCACAAATTAACAAATTTTTAGGTCACATTATTTTTTGATCACAATTTATATTTTTCATTATTCAAATATTGTTTATTAGTCACAGATTAACCAATTTAATGGTAACAATTCATCAAATAATTTGTGACCACAACTAACACTCGTGACCACCATCTCACCACTCCCTCAGGCAACACCACCGCCACCGTCGCCGCAAGAACCACCCCGCTAGCAACACCATTTCAACACATCGCAGAAAAATACATACACATTGTCGCGCCGATCCACCACCACCTCGACATACCCATCGCCACTAACATCTCACCATCACCTCGACTCACCAGCACCACAGCCAATATTATCAGTCACCACCACAACCACCAAAAAATCAGATTTAAAATTATCAGTCACCATCACCGCACCATCACTGCAACTAACCACCGCGCACATAGCACAACACCATCGCCACACCTCCACCTGTACAATCGACAAAAACTCCTAACAACAAAAACCACCCTAAACCTCCATAAGCATCATCATCACCAACAACACTACCACCACACCGCAATCAAATTCATCACCATCTCACCACTGCAGCACCTCACCATCACTACAGTGGTGCGCATGAAAACCACTGCAAATCAGATCTAACAACCAAAGCCAAAATCATCTCACCGCTGTGCCAGATCCACCACCAGCTGCACCCACCTATAGCACCACCGGCGAGGGCGAAGTTGCTCCGCGACAGCGTCATTGTGACGTTGCAGCAGCGGTGGGTGCTACAACATTGAGCGTTGTCGCCGCAGCGTTGCTCAGGTCATCGCAGTGGCGTCATGGCAGCATCGACGGTGGTCTCCCTTCCTGTGTTCGTGATAGAGAGGCAATGACATCTCTCTCTTCCTATAGACAGAGAAAAGAGAGAAGGGAAGGAAAAAGAATTTAGGGTTAGGGGATGGGGATTGAAAATTTTATAATTAATAATATTTAATATTTACAAATAAAATATCTGATTTTTGAAAAAAGGAAAAAGAGTTTATGGTTAGGGGATGGGGATGGGGATGGGGATTGAAAATTTTATATTTAATATTTAAAAATAAAATATTTGATTTTTGAAAAGTGAAACTTAATATCGTAAATTTGAAATTGAATCTTGAAAACTCTTGTTTTGTTTAATTTCCACTTGTTTTAACCATTGCGATTGCATGAGTCACTTTTAGCATGGTTGGTTTCCTTGTATAACCATGTTTCCTTCTAGAAATGGATAATAGAAGATTCCCCTTGATCCCCAAGGATTGTCATTGTTTTCCTTATTCAGACCCACAAGTGCCGCTCATGCTCAACCAAAGGTCTTCAACCATTATATACTCCCCACCAGTACACCGTGCAAAGATCGGAGGTATGATAGTGATGACTAGGACGAAGGCAAATGCAGTAGGCTATGAGATTGGTGGACGTGTGGTCTTGCCATGTATCTTCCTGTTGAAATGCGAACTGTCATTAGTTGTCATGTGTATGTCTATTTGAGCCGTCACCAGATCCACTTATTATAACTTTTGCTAAATAAAAATAGTTAGAAACTTATAACATTTCTAGTAGATGAAGATCTCATCATATACGTTTTCATGACAAAAATATAAAATATATACTGTAAATATTCAAATCAATTAGGTCAGCAGTCCAATGTTTAGTGCAATCCTGTTTCACTGATTCTTTGTTATTATTGGCTATATAGGTAGTATTTTGCCCTGTTTGGTGGCTTTGCTTTACTTTAATTCATTTTTTATATTCATTCGATCACACATTTAAAAAATAAAATATTTTATACATACATTTAATTTTTTTCTTACTTTTTAATAATTTATTTTTCAAAAATATTATTAAAAACATAATTTTTTTAAAATAAAAGCGAAATTTAACACATTCCATACGGCGCCCACTGTACTTACTCATACCGCCGTATCGTATATTTTATCTCTGTTCAAAACTAGCAATACGTTTGGTTTCTCAAAAACAGTTTGCTGCTTGTACTTACTTCCTACATTAGCGCGTTGACGCCACTAATTCCATTTTCTAATTTTACTTTTTCTTTTTAATACCAATACTTTTAAAATGTCCTTACCGAATATGTCAAGCGAATAGGTGATCACCATTGTCAAATCTATAGACAATGAGCCTATTTGAACCTCACCTTTTTTTTTTTTTTAAATAATGTATTTTGAAATTGTATTTTGATGAAAAATGTGTGATTGAAAATAAGAGATAAAACATGTATTTCAAAATAATGGGGGACCAAACAAGGACTATATATACTTACTTATATATAAAAAACAATGAGGATATCATATAAATGAAAACTTTAGATTAAAAATAGTAAGAAAAATGAGGTTAAGAGAAAATAACCCATGCAAACAAGAATTTTATAGAAAATAATATATTTAGATAGAATAATGCTATCTAATATCAGTTGTGATAGAGTGTCAATCTAGGTGACCACTGACCACACTTGATAAGTGCAATTAAATGAATATTTTGACATTGTATTTAAATAAAGAAAAATGTTATTCATCACTAGTGGGCATGCATCCACAGTCTATGTGGATGTAAATGATTGGTGAAATTAAATGACTTATTTAATTTTTACCTATTATTTAATGTCACATTAACACCACATAGACTGAGTCCCCAGTGGAGATGAATATCATTTCTCTTAAATAAATATATCATTTAATGACATCTAATTACCACCTGGTACTAATTATAGTATCACTCATTTAGCCTCCGTTTGATAGACATTTTTATGGATAGAATGAAACATAAATTAAATTAGTTCGTTATTTTAAGTTAAATAAAAATTATACAGTAAACATTATTATTATTAAAAAATGTAACTTACCTTTAAAAGGTAATTGTAGATAGAGTATGGGGACCTCGATACTCATGAGCACACTCAAACGTGTGACGTTACTTTAAAACTAGTTTTATGTCACGCGCGCACGCGCAGTAAGTGGAGAGTAGTAATGGTTCAAGATTCCAATCGTTTTGTGCGTGACTGACGTGTCATTTTGCTAATTTATTAGAGGTTTCGTACTATTTAATCCTCTCTTGCAACGCTGAACTGAGTCCGGAATTCAATTCTACATACATAGCTATGGCAACAAAAAATGGGGATTCGATCGGTGGACTGAAATTGGAACAAAGGCATGGAAAATCCAGAGTGAGAGTGGGTAGGGTTTGGAAAGATGAAAACGGAAGGCATCATTTCGTGGAATGGAATGTTAGCATCAGCCTCCTCTCCGATTGCCTCCCGGCGTATGTCAACGCCGACAATTCGGATATCGTCGCCACTGATACTATGAAAAATACGGTATAAAATACTTCTCTTTGAATTTGTATTCTGGTATGTTGACTTTAAAATATCTTTTGACAAAATTAATAAATAAGTGTAAGATCTAGATCAGTAGTTACTTCATTTATTCTATGGATGGATATAATTTTAGATTAGGTTAACGAGATAAAATGAATTTGGACGAATTGTTTCGTAGGAGTTATAATTTGGATGAACCTGAATTCAGCTGACAATTTTATTGTTCATTTGGATCCAAGCCTAGAGTGCCCATTATGTGAATATCTAAATTTTGGAACTCTTTCGAGGATGATATTGTTGGTCCAGTTATATATCACGTGTCAGTTGTATGACTATTATATTTAGATAAATGATCATGAATTTGGTCATTTATAACTACTGCTCGTAATTATTCATATATTTTGTGGGACACACAGCTATTTCTCTTATTATATAGCATTTATAAATTTGCCAAACAGAGGATAAATTGCAAAAGAATTTCGAAACAATATAACAGTAATGAAAATATTGTAATATCATTCCCTATGCTTTTTCATAGTTTGAAAATGTCCTATAATTACACCTTTACCAGTATTGTCAAATACTTCCTTCTCAATATGCACAAACCAAACTGTCATTTGACCATTGATCTTGAATAGTTGATTATTGACGTAATTCATAATAGAAAATACTCTCTCTATAGTTGCTATATTAGAAGAATTAATGTCAATATCACAAGCTTGTAAAGTAATGGGTAAACTTCATTTTTTTTACACAACCAACTTTTGTACAAGATTATTAAGGCCTTAATCCTCTGAAATCTTCGTAACTCTTGACTACAGTTTGGTTGTCAATAATAAAATGTTGTGAACATTAAATTTACCGTTTGGTAGAAAAGTGTGTTTAATTCATGAATTGCTTATATTTTATTATTATTATTTACCTAAAGATTATTTATAAATGATGTATCTCGTATTATTTTTATAAATAACAATTTCAGGTCATATAAATCCATGAAATTTAAATATTTTAATTAAATTACCATGACACAATTATTTTAGAATAATGATTATTCAAAATTTATTTTTTTAAGGCATAATAACATATGGAATACCATATATTCTTGTGCCATCTTTAAGTTTCATTTATAAAATATATTTTAACACATAAACACATTTTAGATAATAAAAAATTAAAATTAAGATAAAAACATATCCTTTTTTTGATAGTTAGAAACATGTCCTATTAACCCTTCAAAAATAATTTTTAAACTATAGTGGTGCAGGATTTTGCATGTTAAATTAAGGATTCAAAAAGTTCAATTTTTTCTTTTTATTTGTTTGATATATTAATGTGTAGGGTTTAATTAGGATGTAAATTGTTTTTTATTCAAATGTTAAGGATAAAATTTAACTATAAATTTTGTTAAGAAAACACAAAATTAATCGACTTTGAGTTAACCAAACATAAAAGTCAAATAAAATATTCAAGAAAACTGAACAGGGAATCAACAACTATTTTTTAAAAACAGTCAAGTTTTGATTATATGGAACTTGAAAAATTGAGAGATTGGAAATTAAATGGAAATTGTATTTGTCCATGTACATAAATACGAAAAAAAATATTCATTCTCAATAAGTAAGTGAAGAAAAATTACAATTATGTTCGAATTAACTAAAAAAAGGTGAAAAACTCGTAGTTATGACTAGACTTGTCTTTTTCGAACATTTTGCACAACTTTCTTTACTAATAATCGCGCATCTAACCATGTTTTGGTGAGATCTGTGTGTAAAAAAGAAAAGGCTTTTCTTTAAGATTTTGGAATTGAAAATGAAGGGAATGTTTAGGTCAAATATTAGGTTAGGTGTGAAGCCTATTTTTCCAACTTTACCATTCGAAAAATTAGCATGTGCACCTCAAGCGAAGAAATTAACATTGAAGTTGACTGGATTATATACAAAGGATGAAATTGTGCAAAAAGTACGAAGGGTTGAGTATTGAAAAGTCTGATTTTAAAGGTTGGGGATGAATTTGTTGGAGGCGCTAAAGTTTAATGACTAATTGTGCCAATTTCCCAAAGAAAAACAGAAAATTAATTATTGCGATTGGCGTCCTTCTCCCTCACAGAAATGTATTAAACTAGGTTATAATTTATATAATCATCTTTTATTTTAATTTTTATAAAAAATCCCAGAACTCTCTCCCTCCACCAATTGATTTATTGCCGTACTTCATAAATTTGGAGGAGATCTTAAGTAGGCATACATATTGTCATAGCTTTGTCTATTGTTGACTTGAGATATTCACCTGCTTATTATGTAATGACACTATCCCATCCATAACTGGACCAGCTCTGTATTTTCAGCATATGTGGTTCCCTATTGATGTAATTGTCTCTTTTATACTAATTGGCTATGACACAGGTATATGTTAAAGCCAAAGAATGTCGGGAACGACTCTCACCGGAGGATTTTGCTATCATACTTGGCAAACACTTCACCTCCTTTTATGAGCAGGTAAATATAGAAGTTAGATTTGCCAATGCTATTGAACTATTATTTTGCATGGTCGTGTAGTATTGTTAACTGAAACTAAGAATCAAAGGTGGTTTTGTTTGTAACTATTAAGTTTTGATTGAGATACAATGAGTTGGAATAAAGTAAACTTTTGTCGACTTAAGATTCTATATAGGGTTGGGCACAAGTCGCGTTGGATCAAAGTCCAACCTGCAAATCAAAGAGATTGGGAATCTAACGCAGATCGAACCGGCTCGAACCGAGCATTTTTAGGTTGGTTCATTTCGACCCCAAATCATTAGGCACAATCCCCACCCACCCAATACCACAACTATCTTCCGGTCCCCCACCACAAAATCACTACCTCTCCCACCACCATCACTACAAAAATGTCAAAAAACCAATCTTAGAAAAAAATAAAGAAAGTAAAGATCTTACATGAATTGTACCCAATTTTCAATAAATGGTCTCCAATAATCTTTCTTTTTCCTTCCCTTTTTCTGGTTTTCGATTTGATATCCACCTCCCAACCTGGCAACATTGTGTTGATGGCTAAGCTGGAGAAAAAACAAAATCTGAAATCTGCTTTGGTTTGTACTACCGGTGGTGGTGGACATACTCATGGTAGGTTCACAAACTTTGTAGAGAGAGGGAGAAAAGAAGAAGATTGATGGGTGCCCTGCTTGGGTGGGTATGGGCATTGTGATAAAAATTAAAATGGTTTAAATTTAAACTTGAATTGTCTTTTTTTTTAAGGTCGGGGTAGGTCCAACCCGATCACCGACCCAAATTTTCGGGAATTGAACAGAATGGGCTCAAAATTGACCTATATCGGATTAGGTCGGGTCGGTCTGTTGGTTTCACGGTTATTTTCCCGACCCCTAATTCTATGACATAAACCGAGAAAGGGTTTTTAAGAGAATATTAAATCCATATGTTTCTAATGATCATATAAATATGGACTTAAAACTCGTGACTACAAGTATTGGATTCTTAACAACACAAACGATATAAGTGAAATCCAATAATTTAATACAAATGTTCCAGTTTTTTTTTTAATTGCAAAATATCATTAATGTGGACCTGCTACTTGAATCCTGTTTGAGATTATGTAGAAACACCCAACAAACAAAAATCTAAGCATCATTCCCATAAATTTGGCCTGGCTACGTGAATCATTTTGAATTACTCAGGTCCATCCTACATCTACTAGATCCAGTGCAATCATATTCTTTTCATCATATCATATCATATCATGTTAATTTTGGACTATTTCTCCCTATTATAACTTGTTCTATTGGCTGGATTACACTTGTGGTGTGGAGCACCTTTAATCTTTGCAAGACACATGCCCCAATCATGTTAGGTGTTCTTCTCTTAGTTTATTTTCAATAGTTCCACCTCCATTATCTATTATAATATGATTGTGTATCCAACTTAGCCTCTTCATTTCCTCTCAATTCATCTCGTGGTCATTGTCCTTTTATGGTCCAATACTTGGTTCCCTAAACTGTGACTGATCTAACTATCGTTATCTGGATCTTGCATTTTAAGCTCATAGATATCCACATTTTACTATTACTATAAGTACTTAACCTAAAACATTTAGATTCTAATGTTCTAACTTACAATTTGTAACATGATACACCAAGATCAGGGATTTTTTTATCGCATCCTCTATTTTGTAGGTCAAAGCTGCAATCATCAAGATAGTGGAGAAACCATGGGAACGAATACATATAGATGGTCAACCACATGAACACGGTCAGTGTTTGATTCTGAAGATTATTTATGGAGAAAAATACTCAATTTACACACTTGTTTCTTGCAGCAAATCATTAATACAATTGTATTTCAATTTTAACTGCCTTCCCTTAAACTGATTTGTTGCGGAAATATGTTTTAGTTATGTGTAAATGTCATTTTCATTCTTTTATTTTCTGGTTTAGGATCCGTTTTGCCCAGCTGTTGTAAGTACATATTGTAGTAGTAATGCTTTTGATAGTAGAGCTTCTATCAAAAAGCTGTCGACCGTTTGGATGTTTATCCAAAAAGTGCTTTTATATGAACTTTATATTTATTTATTTAGGTTTGAAGTTGGAATTTTTTTTTTTTTTTGATATATTAATGTGAATTTTGTGGATTTAAAGCTTAATTGAGCCTTTTTTTTTTGGTCAACAAGTACTTTTTGACATTAGCCAAACAACCAATATTAGAAACAAAAGCACTTTTGACCTCCACAAAGTCCGTTCAGGCTTTGGAAAAGTCCTTCCAAACACACTTCTACTTTATATTTATACTAAATATTTCCTCCACCTATAGTATAAACGGGGAATACTCTAATTGAATCTTCTGCAAATGTATCTGAGGTTAATAGAGTTGCATGTAAAAATTAGATGTTTTATACAAACCTGAATTTTTCTCACGCTAATGCTCCCTCTACGGGTGTAGTTATAAATGTCAAGGTACCTGTTGACAGGTTGTTGTTTGTAATGTTGAGCTGAACTTTTATTCTAAGGAGCACGATGACTTTCACATTCTCTCACTCTAATAACTTTGAGTGAATGAACAAATTCAAAAGGAAATAATGATAGTCGAATCTACCAAGTCACACTAATTACAAATACTGTGGATCATTTTACGTCTTTTCTGTATCTCTTCCTAAACTTGATGCTCCATATGACTTGGTTCAATTCAATAACTCGGTTAATGTTCCTTAGAAACCTGGCACAAGGCTATCACCCACAACAAGGTAGCCCCCCCCAAAATACACATTCATATAGCCACAAACGTCTGCAGATTAAAATTTGATTGCACATTTCATCATTTAAAAGGAAAAAATGTGTTTGCCAGTGATCTGGTTTCAGAAATTTGAAACCCCTTGAGTTCGTAGAACATATGGTAGTTTTTTGGTGGTAGAAGCCTGGATGCTCCATATCACTGGGCTAAACTCGGTTAGCGTTCCTTAGAAACATGATACAGGCCATACACCTACTAAAATCTACACATTTTTATTCTCATTGTCATGGATTCTAGCATCCACATAATTTCATTGCATATCCCACCACTGTATGAGGTTATGCTGAGGTTATATCCCCTAGATCTTGTAAAATATATGGAGAGCTGTTTTCTTTTGAAGGCATCCATGCAATTGAATTCGTGGTAGTGTGCCTCGTGATAAATGATTTTATCCGTTATAAATAACCAGATACTTCTCAGTTGTTTGTTTCAACCAATAAATACATTCGATATTAGTTCATGGTGGACTTTTGTCAATGTTTTTACTCATTACTAGTAAGATTGGTGGCGAGGAATCATATTTTTCAATATGCTTCTGTGTTTTCTTTCTTCTTAAATGTTGTCGGCTGGGTATATGGAGAAAGCTGTCAGTTCTATGAATTATAACAAGCTTTTTTGATGTCTCCTCTAAAGGTTTTAAGCTTGGATCTGAGAAGCATACAACTGAAGTCACAGTTAAGAAATCAGGTGCTGTCAGGGTGCTTTCTGGTATTGAGGGTTTGGCATTACTGAAGACAACCCAAGTAAGCTAGTTCTAAATAAGAATTCTCTTCCTTTGATCTTTTATTCGTTATACATTTTGCTTGATTTATATCTTTCAGTATCTCTTGTTTGAGAAAGTTCTATTGATACCTCTACATAGCAGGCAAGTTGCTATATATAAACAGAACAACTCTAATAACATTATGGCAAGGAGCTTTAAAGGTATATGTTGAACCACTAAATCTAAAAGCTTAAGGGGTTAGATCGAGTCAAATGTATATTATTTAAATGTTATCTTCAACACGTCCCTCACGTGTAGGTGGGATTAATTTTTTTTATTAAAGCATAATATGTGCACAATTCATTTAAATGGGTGGAAACGAGACTTGACCTCAACTCCTTTGCCTACTCTGATACAATGTTGAACTACTTAATTTAAAAGCTTAAGCTGTTAGATCAGACCAAATGTATATTAATTAAATATTATATTCAACAGTATGGCATTAAATAATTTCCTTGGTGGTGTCTCATAGTAGTGTTTAACCTATGACAGTCAGGTTTTGAAGGATTTATCAGGGATAAGTACACAATATTGCCTGAAACACGGGAAAGGTTGCTGGCAACAGAAGTCACTGCATCATGGAGGTAAATTGTGAAAGATTCCGACCATTACGAAATTTAGTTGAGAAGTTCGTGGATTGTTGGTTTCTTTTGCTGATCTTGATTGTATTGATAACCAGACTTGTGCTTCTTGTTCTTGAAGTTACAGGATATAAACATCTTTAACAAAGGACTAGTTCTTGATGTAGGTACTCATTTGAGACTATCAAAAGTATACCTGCAAAACAGTTTTACTTCCTGGAGAGATATACGGATGTGAAAAAGGTTTTGGGTGAAACTTTCTTTGGCCATCCTAAAGAGGGAGTATACAGCCCGTCTGTTCAAAGTACGCTCTATTACATGGCAAAGGCCATTCTTGTGAGGTATAATGCTTTTTCATATTTATGGAGTGCTTTACTTGATTCTGGTTTCACGTGGTTCCTAAACTCTTGATTATTGTGTTTCCAGGTTTCCCGATGTGTCTTCAGTTCAACTAAAAATGCCGAATATTCACTTTCTGCCAGTTAATTTATCAAGCAAAGGAAATCCAGTTATTGTTAAGGTAGGATGCCTTTCAATTTCGGCATGATACATAAAGGACAAATGATTATAATTCCTATCATATTTTTCAGCAATTATTTTCGTAGTTAATTCTTGTCGATTTCCTTGAATGCAGTTTGAGGATGACGTATATTTACCAACAGATGAACCACACGGATCAATTGAAGCCAGTCTGAGCCGTATACAGTCGAAGATGTGATTCGCTACCAACAGGCTAGAAGTTGTTTTCTAGGCTATTTTGTTGAATCCTCAATAAATAGTCAATCAGAAATCTCTCTCTTTTATGCAATGAACATGTACATATGATGAATAATTATTCTCTCTTTTATGCAATAAGCATGTACATATGATGAATAACTATCAACTTCATGAAAATGTCGTTGAGCTCTGGTGCAAGTGAGCCTTTCATATGCAACTCTTATTATATATACTGTAATTCCTCCCAACCTGGATGGATTGTTTGCTGCTTCCATTTCGTCTGCAGTTAGTGGCTACTTATTTTAGTCTTTGGATGACCAAAAGAATTTATGTTTCAAATCTCTTTAAAATTATATATATTATATCTTTATACTTATTATTTATTATAATGATGCTTATTGCTCGTGGTGAGTTATCTGCTTAGTATGGTGGAAAGCAAAAACTTTAGTTACTTTACCAAGAACGTAAGGCAATATCTCTAACCCGGGTTCGCAAAAATTTCCGAGTATATTCTTCAGATGGTATTGCTTCATACCATTAAAAAAGAATTAGACAATAAATAATTTAAAGAAATATGTTGTTTTATCTTTTACTGCTCACTACTTAGATAAAATATGAATAATGCATAAAATATATGGAAAATTGTAGCAATGGTCCCTAACATTCATTTTTTGTAGACTTTGCCCTAACATTTGTTTTGTGCCAGTGGATGTTTCTAACATTTCATAAATATGCACATGAGGTCCATTTGGACGGGAACCGTCCAAAACACCATTAGTTGACCTGAAAAATTAAAAAAATGAGATATTTTGACCATTTTAAGGAGCCCATACAATATTTTTCCTTTAAAAATTAAAAAGGAGGAATTACATTTCTCAATCTCTTTTTTTACGTAACAATAGAGAAACAAAAATGATTATCTTCTACAATGTCTGAAGACTGAAGAAGAAATCTGTGAATCTGATGAAAAAGTTGAAGATATTGCATGCCATGTAACAATAGAGAAACAAAAATGATTATCTTCTACAATGTCTAAAGACTGAAGAAGAAATCTGTGAATCTGATGAAAAAGTTGAAGATATTGCACGCCACGTACGATGTCCTCTTCTTGAACTTGTGTACGATGAGTATTATTTTGCTTTAAATTTTTTGAAATAACGATACTTTTTGTTATGCAGCATTGAAATGGTTTCATTTAGTGCAATATTTAATATTTTTTTTACTATTTTATTTAGTTGGGATCAGCATAAATCATGTAATCACTATGGGTTTACATTGTGCATTCGTGTAATGCGAACTAGGGTTTGGTCTTGATGATCATTTGTATTGAACTTGTTTTACAAGGGAAAAATCTACTTATTTCACTATAAAACTACACCATGGCAGTACATTATTCACCAAAATGCGAAATTGTGTACGAGCATGGTAAAATAGCATATTTTGACTACATGAATTCTGATTGGTTTAATAGATTTCTTCTAGACAATATCTTGAAGACGTTGAGATATTTTGAGAAAATGAGGTATCTCTATAAGGTTGAAAAGAAGAGATTGAATGATGCATCATTTTGGTTGGTGGGGATGCGGACTACATGAATGTAGTAAAGTTGCTTGGGTTGAGAAGAAGATTGTGGAGTTGTGGTATTTGCCTGTGGTAGAAGTGTTAGAATTGCCATGAGATGACAAAGTAGGGCATGATATTTCAATTATTAATGTTGACACAAGTAAGGTTTTGGAGGAGGTGAAAGAAAAAAGAAAAGTAGACGTTGAGGGACAAGTTAAGCAGCCAGCATGCTATGCTTGGAGGTCTATGATGAATGCATACAGGGATGATGCCTTGTATGTTGTGGATGGAAGCAACCACAGATGTTGACTGTGGTGAAACTTGTGTTGATAATAATGTTGGTGGACATGTAGGGAGTGAAGTGAATAGTGATGGGATTGAACAAAATGTGGGTGCTCAAGTACAAGATGACTACATTGATGAGATACATGCAAATGAAGTTCATGTAGAGGCTAAAACTTGGTATCTTTGATTAGTTTGTGCTTACTCTTATGAACCAACGAAATGTCGAGGGCAGATATTGGGGCATAAACCTATTTTTTCTATATTTTTCGAGAACGAGATTTTTGTATGCTTTGGAAAAAGCTTGTACAGTTTGGAAATGGTTTTGATTGATAAAAAAGAAGAATCTTTTTCAATCGATATGCCTTGAGATACCATTCCATTTGCGCAAGTAATAAGGGGTTCCATGTTAATAACTCAATCTATTTTTAGAAAATATATTCTTCATATTTTTTTTCCACCAAGAACATTTTCTAAAACTCTTTGACCTCCGAATTTGGAGTATCTTCCTTTCACGCAATTCACAAGGTTAAACAAGCAATCGATATTTCACGATCAATGGTGTAATACTCTTTGTAGGTACATTCAAATGAAGTTCATGTGGAGGCTGAAACAAATGAACCTGCTGATGTTGGGATAGAACATTTGAAGGATGGTGAGGAGAATGATGCACCTATTGCTGGTGAAAATGATGAACTTGCACGTGATGAACCTACAACTGATGAAGTGCAATGAATGAGATGAAAAAAAGTAAATGAATGAGATGAAAAAAGTAAATGAAGACGCCTTCAAGTGATTTAATGAGAAACCAGCCTCACGGTGGATCAGATCACATTTTTAGGAGCATTCAAGGTGTGATATCTTACTTAATAACTTATATGAGGCATTCAACTCTTCCATACTTTTTGCAAGAGAAAAGCATATTATCTAATTGTTGGAAAATGTTAGACATCAACTCATAATGAGAATGAACACAAAATGGGAAGCAACACAAAGATGGGATCATGCTTTTGGTCATAGTATTATGACTATAATTGAGAAAGCCAAGGCAGATGCAAAATACTTGATGGCAAATTATGCTAGTAGTGAGAAGTTTGAGGTTAACAATAGAGATGAAATGAGGCCAAGTGTAGACTTGACAAGACGGGAATGTACATGTAGAAAATGACAACTGGAATTCCATGTGTACATGCAATCTCTAGTATGCTTTCTAGAAACATTGTCATATATGAGTATGTTGATGCATGCTACACCAAATAAGCTTATCTTAAGACCTACAACCCAGTCATCCAACCAATATAAAATCCTGAGTTATTGCCAAAACTTGGTGAACATCCTCTTGATCCACCCATAAAAACGAAACATGCAGGTATACCAAAGAAGATGAGAAAAAGGTCCCAAGTTGAGCCACTTCCAGAACGAAAATTGTAATAACGGGTATGAAGATGACATGTAGAAGATGTGGGGAAACATGCCATAATAAAAGAATGTACACAGTCTCCTTGCCTACAAATGCAAGTTCCCAACAAAGTTCACCATCAGATGCTCAACAACAATCACAGCGAACGACATTACAAGACAAGAGAAAAACATCTATATCCAATGAGGCAAAGACACATGCAAAGAAGAAGAAGGGCAAAGAAAAAGAACTTAGCTTTTACTGATGATCTGTTGATACGTTAGACTGATTTTGTAATGTCCATGATCTTTTGCAATGTCAAAAATGCTGATCTTTTGATATGTTAGACTTATTTTGTATTGAAATGCTCTTTTGATGATGCATATTCCGATTGAAAATGAAATGAACGTTCAACATTTCAGTCATTTAATTCACTGCTATACTTTAGATTTTTTGTTTATGTTTTCGAAGTGAACATGTGTGGAAATGTTTATAATTCATTCAAACTATGTCTAAAAATTTCAAAAAAGGTTAAGGACCTCTACTGCAACTCATGAAAAGTTTTGGGACTTGTGCTGCAACTTGTGTGGAAATGTTTATAATTCGTTCAAACTATGTCTAAAAATTCTGAAAAAGGTTTTGGACCATCATTGCACCATCTCCGTGAAGTTTTGCAAACAAAATTTCCCTTTTATTTTGAATCATTCATTTTCAGCAAAAAAGAGGAAAATAGGATGAAGGAAAAATCGAAGTTTAGCTAAATAATAACATATTTTATTACTAGAAAATAAGTTAGAAACCCATAGACCACACGATTTGTAACATAGAGACCCACATAACAACACATAAACCCGACATATTAGCTCAAGCCTAACTTAGATCTAGGTACGGACTCATTTCACAAAAAACTCTACATACAACTCCAATGATCTAGTCTTCCACGCACTACGATATCTAGAACGGATGGGTTTATTTCAACTTCCATCTCTCTCCTAACTCGTAGAAATCCAGAGATCAGCTCCTTGGATCTTGCACACATTGACGAGTCACGCCAGTTGAAAAATTACATCCACCAACATCCTGACGCCTGGACAGCCGATAAACCTTCTTCATGAGTTCAAGTTTGTCCATGATGTCTTAATCTCCATCTCCATCTCCGTCCTACAAAGCTTTTGACAATTATTGAGAGAGAGAGAGAGGGAGAGAGAGAATAAAATGGAGGAAAATATACAGTGATTTGAATAGTTAATGAAGGATAATATTGTATGGACGAAATTGCCTCTACTTAAAATGGTGAAAATTTCTCATTTTTTAATTCTTCAGGTCAATTGACAGTGTTTTGGAAGGTTTCCGCCCAAATCTCAGGTGTATATTTATGAAATGTTAGGGACCTCCGTTGGCCCAAAACAAATGTAAAGTTTGTAAAAAATGAAAATGTTAGAGATTACTGCTGCAATTTTCCCTAAAATATATTATTTTTAAACTAATTGAATTTTCTAATAATGCTTCTAATATTTAAAAAAATTCATAATTTTACATTTGATAATGCAATGATCAACAAAACAGTAACTCGCGAATTAGCTGGACATTTAACCTTGATTTTGGTGTTATTCTATTTTATATTCGTCGTGTTTGCTATATTTATTATTTAATTGTGTAAAATAGGTTAAAATTCACTAAAATTGTTTTAAACAAAATTAAGAGAGCTCTAATCTTTATTACGATATATCCTAATATAAAATAAGCTTTTGATGAATAATATAAATAAAATGAACTAAATGCTAAATATTTGTCATAAATATAGGTAACAGAGGAAACTTAACATACATTTTGCTACGTTCTTGTGACGGGTACAAACATCTTATCACTACTTATTAAAACACTTGACATTCACAAGATCCACAAACTGATTTACTCGAGCATGATTGGTAAGTTGCATTTCGTGTGAGAAATTTATGATTTTCTTTTTTTTTTTTGCAACGCTGCGAATGCATGTTTGTGCAGGTTATCCTATTAATTAATCCCCTCGTTCTTGCTCAGATTTATATATTGCTAAAAATTTCCAAAAGCATAAAACATCATCCATTTTTCTAATATCGTAACAGCGATGAAACTTAAGTTTAGAAAATATTGGAAGAATTTGTCTATGTTGTTCTATTAGCTTACGCAATGAACCATATGTTTAATCTATAGGGTACAAAACTCATAACTCGAATTTAGAATACAATAAAATTTGAAACTCCAATTAAATACTGTAATATGGAGAGAAGTTCTTGTGAAATGTATGAGATGTATGCCGGAAGATTCGGTAGAAAATTTCAACGATCCTCCGAACCAATGCCTAGTGCTACCGTGTCATCACATAGTCAAAGCTAACGAGATAGAATTATTAACAACGATTAGTGCTATTACTTCTTCTTACCTCAACCAAAGTACTTGTGAAATATTGTTTGAATTAACTAGATATTTTGCTTATTACATATTTAGTATTTTAGTAACGGTAGATGCAAAAATTTAGGCCATGTTCTCTTTATCGTTTTCAAATCGTTTTCTGTTTTCAATTTTTCAAGACAGTGAAAACGCGTTCTCTTACCTATTTTCGAAAACGTGTTTTAGAAAATGAAAAAAAAAAAAAAAATGAACTGAAAACTGAAAATGGGCAAAACAATGGTCTGGAAAATCTACGCACAAAACCTTGTTTAATTCCAAAACACGGAAACAGTATTTCCTCTCACACGCACTTCTCTCTCTCTCTCTCTCCGGCACGTTGCTCTCTCACAAACCAAGAACCCCGAAATTCCTATTGAGCTCCTGTTGCCAAATCGAAGCCACGCGATCTTCAGATCAAGGTTTTACAGTCGTCTTCCCAAATCGACGGATTCTCTACAGGCTGTTTCAATCAAGGTTTGAATGTGATAATCTTTGTTTTTGTTGGGTTATAAAGAGGGGAAGTTTGAACTGAGATGTCTTGAGAAATTACATAATAGAGTGCCAGTGATTTCACAAAGAGCTACATATTTGCTTATTAGTTTACCATGTTTATTTCTGTTTTTTGTATGTGAGCTACGTATATGCCTCCACACCTTCAGATCTATGTGAATTGAACATTTTAAAATGATAAAGTGGCTTTATTATTATGGGCTGAATTTCTAGTTTAACTTTGCTTATTGGAAATAATTTGTTTATTTGAATTTTCATTCTTTTAATTTGGGTAAATGTCTGGTTGGTCCAAATTTATGCCTTGATTATCTCAGCCCCCTTTGGCCTGTTGCAATTCCCGATGGAAAAATTCTCTTCTGCTGAATAATATTTATAATTGTTAGATTTAATCATTTCTTTAGAAATTACAATAGACATGACCATATATTGTCGCTTCTAGGCTGCATCAGTTCTTTAATTATGGAATTATTCTTCTTGTACCGGGGGGGGGGGGTATACAACCCCACAATAGGGGGGCCCACATATACCCCCCGACCGGCCCCCTCACAATAGGGGGGCCCACATATACCCCCCGACCGGCCCCCTCACAATAGGGGGGGCCCACATTTATACCCCCTGGTACAAATAGCAGCTCTCTTAATTATGCGATCAAAATATATATGGGAAATTCTTACATTTTTTGAGTAAAGCGTCATTTAATGAATGATTGCCATCCCAATTTTGCTTTCAACAAATTGGTTATTTAAGTCTATGCTTTCTATTTGTCAGTCAGATACCAATTGCTTGGCAAAACTCCGATAAATTAATAAGAGATATATAAAGGCGAATGAAATATTTTTGCCCCTTTTTGTATGTATGTTTAACTATTTTCTCATTATCCTACAACCAAGTAAGACTCCACAATATATATATGTACTATCAGTCTGCAATTCAATTTGTTAGAAGATACATTCTTGATGGATATTAATTAGGCCAAAATGGAAAATGTAGTTAGGAGACGAGATCACATGTGTGCCTTTTTTCTGTGTACCTTTCTTTCATGGTCATTGTTTCGCTGGTTTAGATAAGATGCATATGTGGTTCAAGTAATGGCATAATACTTTGATATTGCACTAGTATTTTGACAAAAAAACATGATGGTGATGCAGGTGGAAAATGTACCTATTTGTGGGCATACAAATTAACTCTCAATGCTTTGTTCACTTCTTCCATTTACATAATTGTACTTATATTAGGATCCTTGTTACAAAAAGAGTAATGACTTATACATTTTGTGATAATTTTATTTATGTTGAATATAGAACATGGGTGGTCACAAAGTCAGGACAGAGCCACTGGCAGCAACCATAATTTGCAGTATAACTTAGCAAAGATTCAGGCTGACGCCATGCCTGAA